GAAATGCGATCTGCAATTACGCGAGATTGTTTGACATGGGTTTAGCCGCAGCGGGTGTTAGTTAACATTGCCCGGATTCGTGACGTTTTCCATTACGTTTACAGTTTCGGATCCGGTATGACGACATTAAGTGAACGGTCAAAACGGAACAGGTTTCCGGAAACAGATGCGACTCTGTCCGGAATTTTATGCCGTTACACCAATACGATACATCACCGGAACGCTTGAGGTCGACTCAGACCGCAATTCGGACCCTCTTCCGACGTCTACCACTGATAAATACCTACCTGAAAGGTAGCGAAAATTCAATTTGCGTAGACGCAAGATGAAAATTTTAACAGACGACGCCACAACCGACGTGATAACGGATAATTAAGAGCGATGTGTTTACAAGAAAACTTTTCCTCCGAAACGAAAGCGCAACTATTAAAAATAATAAGAAAATCACTAAATTTTGAACTAACTTTGAAGCCTAAAATTTTACATAACGACAATCAAAAACGAAATCGTAAGAAGAAAAATCTGTTTTTATTTATTTCAATAAAATAATAATGCATTAAACCAGAAATTTAAAAAAGAAAATACCTCTAAGTAAACCTAAAGTTTTAGAATTTAGTAATTTTAAAAATTTGGTTTGCAAACTCCTCAAAATATCTCACTAAAGTTTCCTTTATTTTTACGAACTTTATTTTAACCAAGATACTTTTACGTTCCTATTTAAAAAAAATCAATACTGGAAAAGTACTACAGCAAAAACGAAAAAGATGCTTGAATAAAGGTTCAATAGGAAGAAAATGACAGGTCGTCGACTCAAATAGGACGAAATTTAGTAAAATTAGCCTTCATATTGACCCGAAAAATGAGACGTTTATCTTTCTATCGATCCGCCTTGTACCCTGTAATTTTGTTATGAAGCATCGTGACGTAAAATGCTTATAAATCACGGCATAATCACTTCTTTGCAAGACTATACAGATATTAGCTCTAAATTTAAATACAATTTCAAATTCAGAATCATATTTCCCAATTTCTTGCAAGTGACATGAATATAACTTGACACAGTTGGTCATAAAACCTTCCAAACCTAATTTCCACCGTCGATAATTTAATACAAACTTTCAACCCCGAATATCCCTAGATTTCACAAATATTTACATCCCAATGGAATTTAATGAAACTTTCAACTATCCCAGTTATTAAATTAATATCACAATAGATCCAAGTTGTCGTAAATGCACATTTTTTGAGTTTATTAAAATTGCTGTATTCGATTAAACAACTTCAATGCTTCGGGGATGGCTAAATCCAACTTGTGTGCCATTTTCGTGCAACTACTTCAAGCACCTATTAGTTGCAAAATTCCGGACTCCCGGAGCGAATTTGTCCTAATTTATGGCCGCCGGAGATTTCCCCGTGTGTCATTCGTCTCTCTCAATCACGCACGTGGCTTTCTTGTTCCTGACACCAGCGTTATACAAAAAAATTCAAATAGAAAAATGCACATTTTACTTGAAGGAGGCTCGAGATGATGTGCCGCAACTCTAGTGCTATTTAAAATTTTAAAGTTAGGGTCGGCGTCAGAGCGAATTCTAAAAAGGTTCGCTTTTATTTTTCCCGCTCGCATGTAGGTTAAATATTTGAACGTAGTTTTTGTCACAAAATGCTCGAAATAAAAATTGCAAAAGGTTTAGTGACACAATTTAACTAACCGACTAGTTACTGCAGCATAAACCGGATTACTTTCACTGCAAATTTAATTTTCAATTTTAAGAACGGTCCATTTTGAGAGTGGCTTTTTGAAAATTATCCCTAGCGCAAACTTTATAATGAAATTAAAATTACTTATCTGAATACAAAATTGCGATATGTACCCTCGAGTCTAGACTTCATTTATTACGTTTTGTTTTAATTAATTTAAACAACAATTTCGAGTCGAATCAAAATTTAAACTTTCTTTAAATTTCATAAAGCGACGTTCAACTTCTTTATTCCCGAATTTAAAAACTTTTTCATTAACATATTGCTAATTCTTTTCCTTTTGTGTATAATCCGAAGAATAAATCTAAAAGTTTGTGAGTCGTCTCCGACCTCCTAATCATATTATATCTTTTCTTTTTGTGGCGACAACTTTTGAATAACAACTTAACTCGACAGAAATAAATACGCCGATAAATTTTCTCGTCTAAAATAAAACGAATTGGTACGATTGTTATTTGGAAGATTTGATCGAGAAACGTCTACACTAGTGGTAAAACAAAATTGCTTTCTAAGATTCCATCAGTATACAGATCGTTCCTGTCACCCACAAATCGTCAATCGCTCTGACTTACAAATTCACACGCAATCAATCCTCATTCTAAAAATAAAATGCTTGCGTGCACGCATCTTTCATCCCCAAAAAAACTTGTTATTTAGTCGCAAAGTCAGACCCAACTCACTTATAAATACTAAGAACGTAATACTCTTATCTCAACGATCCTCCACGAATTTCTCGACTTGTTGGGACGTTTATAACAGAGTCAAAGCAACAATAAAAGAAACGACGCTATTCCTTCACCCGTATCCAACTAATTATAGTCTAGTTGTACGCAAGAGGATTCATAAAAGAAACAGCCGACGTGTTAGATTATCTTAAGACCAACTCATGAAAAAATTATTTTTGTAATTTTTAAATAAACCACTCGTAACTTTTAATAAGCAATTATGCTTCAAACTGTCGAAAATAAAATTTGCATCTTTTAGCATAATGATGATAGGAATAAAGTGTTCCTCCGCGTTGTTAATAACGAGGCCGGTGCTTTAGAAAATGCTTTCTTTCACTAATTCACCAATCTACTTTTTTTATATTCTTCCAACTCCACCAACTAGCAAAATGCGCAACACAATTTTCAAAAACCATTCGGTAAATTAAAGATTAAGATGATATACATTTTGCCCGGCGCATCCACCATTTTTACTGCAATAATTTTTGAATCTCAAGAAATTGAAGACAATACAGGCTGTTCCGTCTAAATCCCACATTAAAAGTATTGGGAGTTCGAATAATCATATTTATTTGAAAATTGGTACATAGCCATAATCCATTAAGTTCTCATAAATGAAAATATTTTCAAGATAGCGACACTTCCAGTTATACCGGAAGTCGGTCTCAACTTTCTTATTTTAAATGGAAAGCTATATTTTTTACTGCGTTTTTGGATTAATCGGTTTATTTTAAGGAAGTTTTCATCAGCTTTCTCTATAGTTATATCTAGCCGTTTTTGAAATATTTAGAGTTTTTCAAAAATTTTTGGATCTGCACCTTCCACTTTAAAAATTGGTAACTCTGCTATTTTGAAAATTTTGAATTTTTTTTTGGCGTTTGAAAGAGAAGGTTTAGATCTTTCTTCTAGTGTTTCAAATTTTGAAAAAAAATTAACAAACCCTAAAATTTTAAGGTTACTTTTGTAATAATTCAAATACCCATAACTCAATTTTTCCAAATGAAATACACCAATTTTTATTTTATTAAATAGAAGAGAATTTAATTCTGCATCGATCTGTATTAACATTCCCTATACAAAAATTTAATAATTTTTAAGTTATTGACTTTTTGTTAAGACTGCCGAAAATCTATTACTAGATTTCCGTTTTCGTATAGTTTGCTATGGAAATCAAAAATGTCAAAATTGTTTCTCAATAAACGTCGACAGTGACTCATTATTTGACAAACAGTGCCAAAATATGGAGTCAAAGCTACTGAAACTTACATTTATTAATTAATTTATTTTGTATTTATGGAGAGTGTAACAAAGTTATGATGTCGTTCATTAAACAAAAATAAATTTTTCTTACTTGTTAGCTTTAAATAATGATCGCATAGTAGAACCTATATAATAATTAAGTTTGCATAACTTTAATTCTACATATTTTGGCACTATTTGTCAAATAGTAATTTACTGTTGACGTTTGTTTAGAAAAAAAATTGACATTTTTTATTTCCCTAGCAAACTATGTGAAAACGGGTGTGGCTAGTAATAAATTTTCTGTAGTCTTAACAAAAAGTCAATAACTTGAAAATTATTAAATTTAGGTATAGGCAATGTTAATATAGATCAATGCACAATTAAATTCTCTTCTATTTAGTAAAATAAAAATTCGGGTATTTCATTTGAAAAAATTGAGTCATGAGTATTTGCATTATTACGAAAGTAACCTTAAAATTTTTGGATATGAAATTTTTTTTTCAAAATTTCAAAACAGCAGAAAAAGGATCTAAGCTTTCTCTTTCAAACGCCAAAAAAACGAATTCAAAATCTTAAAAAATGGCAGACTTACCGATTTATAAAGTGGAAGGTGCAGATCCAAAATTTTTTGAAAAACTCCAAATATTTCAAAAACGGCTAAATTTAAGTATAGGGAAAGCTGATAAAAACTCCCTTAAAATAACCCGATTAATCCAAAAACGCAGTAAAAAATATAGCTTTCCATTTAAATTAAGAAAGTTTGAACCGACTTCCGGTATAACCGGAAGTGCCGCCATCTTGAAAATATTTTCATTTATGAGAACTTAATGGATTATGGCTATGTACCAATTTTCAAATAATATGATTATTCGAACACTCAACACTTTTAATGTGAGTTTTAGACGGAACATTCTGTATAATCTGCGTTAAATAGGTGATAAAAACGCCATTTACACATTAATACTTTATTCACGTTCAATTTTAAAAATACAATAAAAAATAGAAATATTTTTGAAGAATGTAAATTTCTATCCTTTCAGCGATCCACCTGTCCATTCCGTCTTATTCCTCCGGTCATTTTCACGCTCCAGAGTCCAAAAAACCCGTATTTACATAATCCCGTCTCATCAATCACGCTTCCTGCTAGTCGCTTGATATGCAAAACACCTCGTCTTAAATCCACAATAGCGACAAGTTCGTCGTGCAAGCGTCGCTAATCTCATACATCGTACCACGCTAGCGTTTCGATGGCATTAATCACATGTATTGTTCCAGGGCTGCGCTGGCAAATGACGAGTCTAACGACTGCTGTCTCTCTACTCCTGCTGCTGGCCGAGGCCGCCGGCGCGCCCGCCACAAACTGCAAACTATCGGAATTCGCCTGCAACAACGGCCGATGCATCCCCCTCAACAAATACTGCAACGTCCTCAACGATTGCGGAGATTCGTCTGACGAACCGAGATATTGCACGCGTAAGTGTATCGATATTTAGATGCGAGTGTAGCTCTAATGAAAAAACTTACCCAAATTGCCTCGTTTATATTCAAAAGGAATTCAACTCCGCGATCCAGAAAATAAAACGTTTTAGAATCAATTCGAAAATACACTATTTATGACTTCGAAACCGTCAAAATATACGTGATGTAAATTTGGTGGATGCGCCGGGAGAAAATACAGCTGTTTTTAACGACGCAGACGAGTTGTTGTTAATTTATCAAATTGCTCACACAGGAACAAATGTGAAATAATGTAATAGCACTTTCGTTTGAAAAATTCTCACCTTGACATTCACACACAACAATGTAATTTTGTCCAATCGGTTTCACGGAAAATAATTACAAGGTAAACAAGAAGAAACAAACAAAGTAAGACAAATGACAGAACCAATAATGGAATCAGATTACTTTTCGTTGGGTGTAAGTTTTCGTTAGTTTGCCAATTCATCTGTCACGTAAAACGTTATCAATTATTCAAAAGTGACTTTTATTACTAAATTCAATTTGAACGCAGTCTGTTCCTGGATTTAACTTTCTAACTAATCTCGATATGCATACATACACCGACTCGATTTCTGTTCTAGCAGAGTTAGGTAAATGTACACTCAAAAATGAATTAAAACACCTCCGTGTTTAACATTTTTTATTTAAAACACTCCTGCAACTTTTCTTGCAACCCGCAAAAATTAAATTAAACAAAATTTCAGTTAATTTTTTCATTATAAATTTCTGTTTCTAAATCGTTCCCGCCTATGGCAATTCGAATTTTTAATTTTGTGTTTCTCCTTTTTTTATGCCACAACCCCTATAAAATTTATATTAAATTGAAAAAATGACGATAAATCAAAAAACATGTAAATGTCAAGTCACGCTTTAGTAATACCAACCAACAACAAACCACTTGAAAACTTTATGTCTGTAACATCCCTAGAGTGATAACGTTTGCAGTCTTATTTCGTCCTCCTGAATTATTGAATTCTTTATTAAAAACACCACATCAACAAATTGAAAATAACAATACAGTGCGAGATTAGCAAAACTGTTTCTCTTCTCTCAATATACCTAGATCAACACAATTCACCTCGCAATAAAACAACCTGACCCAAATAGTTCCAACTATAACAAACACAAATCCCCTAAGACCTTAGCAATTCTATCTCTCTCGACTTGGCTCTCTCATTATCAGAAATCTTATGTTTGAACTCAAACAGTGGAAATAGGTGAAGCATTAAATTTATTGCTCGGGTCAGGAGCAGAGACACTCTTTTATGATTTATAGGTTTTAAGCGCTCGGGGGCATTTCCTCGAAAAAAAGTCTTAGCGATCGATAAAACACTCTGTTTTCAGGTTGTAATCGCACCTATTTCGGTCAAGCCGGAAAAACGTACGATTTGGAACTACATCGTCCAAAAGAAGATAAGATACCTTTCATCTGTCATTTGACGTTCACGGCTGGAGGAGACGAATTCGGAGAACTCGTCCAGGTAAACTGTGTTTATTAAAAGACGCAGATGTTTCTCTTCGAAATTAAATCAAGTAAAGCTATTTAATCGAATCATTTCGGTGTAGTGCTCATAAATTCGATAGCTTTTAATTCGCCCTTGTTTCGAATGATATTCAGTACTGGAAGCTTCAGGTTAATAATTCAAGGCTGCCTAATTACATACTCTCACGGTATACACAACGCCATTTAGTTTAGAACCTTATTGCATTCGAGAGAGCGACTATGGTGCATATTAATTTCCACTCGATGGTGCCAAGAGCGATTCCGGTCGTTCCGGAAAGGCAAAAGCTTCACACACGTGCGACCAGAACAGATGCTGATCAAATTTAACATACGGTGAAAACCCAAAATTTGCATATCGTGAAACACCGATGTTTTTTAATGTCAAGTAAGACGCCATTCTTGAAGTGTTTCTAAGCCTGGAAACGCCTTTTGTTTATGGGCAAATCAACTCGACTGTTCAATTCAAGTTAGCAAATTGGAGCAAATAGTTCGAGCTAATCTTCTTCTTCAAATTCTCCCTCGTTATCTCATTGATATCGCCCGGAAATGTCATTCATTAATATGCATGAATCGGGATAAACTTTAGCTATTATGGCCACCCTTCAGCAAACTTTGCATCCCATCCGAAAAATTAACCGTTTCAGACGTGTGACGATTAATTAAAAGCTTCGAAAAGTCAGGTCGAGGTGAACAAACTCCCTTTTCATTCGAAAATGGGAACATCTCGTGGGATCCGTATTATTCATTTATAAAAAGTCGACGTTCGCGTTGAAATTCCATCAGACTGACTCGTATTTATCTGGGGATTTTTGAGGACTACACCAGACGATTTAAATGCGCAACGGCGATTGCCGCAACCGAGATTAAAATTCTCCGGAAGCGCCGCATTACATGCATCCTGCACCGGTCCACCGCAGGCACGCGAGAACTGTTTGTGTCAACTTGCATCTCTGCGACCGTTTCCACATTTTTACATGCACCAAATGAAAGAAATCAAACGCAAAAGCTGAATAACAGACTCGATCCCTTTGTACGAGAAACATCTCGCAAAAACTATCCAGAGTTAAAAATAAATGCATGCCAACCGTTACAAAAAAAGTAAAACGGATGAGTTTCTCATTATTTTGTATTTTAAAACCAAACAACTATTTCCATTTATTAAAGGCAAATACTGAAATTGTCTTGAAATTGACTGGAATTGGTTGTTTTAAAAAGAAAAAACATCTCTTTCAGTTAACGTTCGACAGTTTCACGTTGGGTCGTTTCGTGTCTTTCACATCCGACGGTTGTCCAGACGGTGCCTTACAAATAATGGAATCCAACAGGCCCCAAGTAGGAGGATCGTGGTGCGGGACGTCGTGGGGCCCCGCCATCTATTACAGCGAAACGAAAAGTGTTACGATTTATGTTAATCTTTTTCGTCTTTCTAAAGATCAAAACGGATATAACTTCGATTTTCGTATGGAATACAAGTTTCTCCGGAAAAAACTGGCAACTGTCCGATACGGGGGAGGTGAGTGGAATGGATTTTTGCAACTTTTCAGCGTTGAGAGATAACGTTCCCGGGTCAACCGGACCTCGACCACTTTTATCGATTATGTAAAAATCAGAAGTGAAATAATCCCAGACTTTCAACACTTTATATCCTATTATCTCTTTCTTGGAAGTTAAATCGAGCCGCATTATTATTATTAAAGAGTTTTTGATGCAAAATATCTCTGAAGATTGATGACTTTATCTATTTCGAATCATTTTCGCACGAAACAATACGTTTTTTTCGGGATGGTTTCGTGTGATTTACGGTGCAATTCGTTATAGGTCAGCCATTTGTGAATACAACGGCGCCCTCAGTTGAGCCCGAGCCCGAATACTACTTGGGAGATTTAATAACGGGTACATATTGTTCCCGAATTTTCAGCGACTGTGATAGGAAGCACTGCCGTCTCCAGTCCCCCAACTTTCCGGGGGTTTACCCGCGTAATTTAACCTGTTATTACGCAGTGCGTCAGCACGAAATTCCTCCGGGTAAACACGCCCTCATCATTGTACGTCAACTAAAAGGCCAATTGATCTCAATACGAAGCCAATCAGCTCTTTACGGTACTGCGAGCACCCGCGAACTCAAACTCTGGAACGACTGCGACGACGTCCAAGACTACGTCACCATCTACGACGGCTACACGACCCGCGATCCCGTCATTTTAAAATTCTGCGGGGGCGGCGAAGCTGTCCCCGAAGCCGTCTCCAGCGGCCACGAACTCCTCGTCGAATTCTCCACGTCGCCTTATGGAACGTTCCTCTATCCGGCCCCAGCGCAAGCCCTCCACGGCTTCCAACTCGAAGTCGAAGTCAAATTCGTCGATCAACAATCCCCGACTTACGTTAAAACGAAACGCCAATGCGAGTTCTCTTTGAGAGGGACTAACAAAGGAGTTTTGGAGAGTCCTTTGCATTCCTTGCCAGCAAACACCACCTGCCTCTATCACCTGCAAGGCATCGACACGTCAGTCTCCCCATCTCCGATCCCTTTTCGGCCTCTTTCTTCCCGTTATCCCGACTGGAGGCACGCCGGGATGATCCTCCCTCCGCCTCGTTACCGCGTCTGGCTCTCCATCGTGAAATTCCACGCGGCTGGGCCTCGTGACCCCCAAAAACCCGACCAGGAATTGTGCAGAAGCTATTTGAACGTGTGGGATGGTCAATTGTGGGCACCATCCAACTGTAACGATCTCTTCTGGTGAAAACCTCCAAACCGCCATTCGTCTCCCGTTTAAATCAGATTTGTTTCAGCGGTGGCAGAGATAAATCGAAAAGCATTCCCACAACGAGTTTATCGGGCGCTTCAAGCACCAAGAAAAAAAACGTGACGCTATTGGCGAGATACTGCAGGGAGCACGTGCCTCGAAGCTGCGACCACTCACTGTTAGCTAATTCGACGAGGTTCCCTAGACCTTGTAGCCTCGCCGAAAGTTTCCTCACATCAGGAGACAGTCTCACTCTGGAGTTGAAATTGGCAGACTCGACGGCACTCAGGTTATTACTTTGAATAAATTGAAACGAGGATTTTTATCGTGTTTGTAGACCCGTGCAGTTTCGAGCTTTGTACGAATTTGTCGATCTGCATCTGGATGGGGAACCGTATGGACCAGGAGCGTGTTCCAGAAGATTCAGTAGTTTAAATCAGGATGGCCCTCAAAAATTTCGGTCACCCAGAGATATTTTTCTTTACGGGAGAGGTGGAGCAAAAAATATAAGGTATTGTGATAATTTTATTCGTATTTGCACAATTATTGATTGTGTCTTTAGTTGCGTGTATCGGTTTGAAGCTCAGAATGACGAAAGAATAAAAATAACATTAACAAGTCTGACTATCAAAAACCGCGATTGCAAGACGAAATTGAGTAAAGACACGGATCGTCTAGAATGTTTTGGGAATACGACAGCTACAGTTCGCCTCTTTGAGATTCCATGGATGGACGTACCGGGTGTTCCCCGCGACTGCCTTTGCTCACTCGACAAGGATAAACTGTTACCATTCAGTTACGTTTCCACGTCTAACGTAGTCGAATTGCGTTTCGACGTGACCGGAATGAACGCATCCGACGATTTCACTACTTTATCGTTCGAAGGCACGTGGAAGTTGATACAGACCCCCGTGTGCCCCAGTAATTTACGGATGAAGGGACCGAGCGGAGAACTAGCTTTCATCTACCCGAACAAATCACCGCAGGAAGTAAGTAAATGTCCAATTGTTCTAACTGCAAGTGCTTTCGGTGATAAAAAAAAACCAACCAAACTTCTCAATTAACCTCCCGATTCCATTAAAATCGCAAACTTTTTGCATGGAGAAAATCTAATCTGTTCCGTCATTTCCTGCATTTTCAGACCAACTGCGAGAACAGTCCTCGTGTGATAATTCCATCGCCAAACAAGTATCTCTACGTGAAGATCAGCGGCGTGATAATGAAACATTCGAGTCGACTAGGCGATGGCGCTTCGAGAAGCGTTTCTCCCGTGAGATGCGGAACCTCTAATCGGATTAAGGTACACACGGCCCTTTATTCAGCTCTCATATGTCCCTACAGCTCCTCGTCGAGAAGCAATCTCGTTGAGGTTTTCTCAGAAGGGTGGAGCGTAGGAAACGTCGACGGACATTCAGTCGGAAATATAGCGCTAGACAAGATCGAAATCGATCGACTGGGAAAAGAACTTCCAAGATCGATCGTCGTCGAATTTGTTGGAAAAGAAGAAGGTTCTTACTCTGTCATGTGGCTTGAACTCGGCAGAAGGTAACCAATTTACTATCAAATTTTTTTCTTTAACTTATATACTATCGGACAAAAGTAAAGCAACTTTTTTGGTAAAATTAAATATTATAAGAATTACAAATCCCCTAATTTAAAACCTATCAGTTTAAAACCTCATAGTAGGCTTGTGTCATAAACAAATCGAGATTATTTTCAAATGTTAAATAAGTTAGTTTCAGGGTTGATCAGCAGGCATAGGCAAATATGTTAATGAAAAACATACAACCAAGAGACGGCGCCACTTACTTTTATTTACAGATTTCTGTAAATTACGACAAACAGTAGTAAACAGAAACTATTAGTGCCATCTCTTGGTTGTATGTTTTATTTTTACTTAAAAAATACAGAATATAAAGCAGTCTTTGGATATTTGGCGCAAAATATCAAAAAACACTTTTCAATCAACTTTCACTAGTATTGTTCAAACAATTTCTCGAGTTCGAATTATTTGTTACATACTTTGTTAGTGGTATGCTCTTTTTATTATGTGTTTAAATTTTGTTTGGTATCGTTTTTTAGTATCTACTTTTAAGGTAGAATTTTCAAATTTTGAAATAGGTAACACTCTCCTAAAAGATATCCAGCAGCAATGCTCCTCAAGAGAATCCTGAAACTACTGGGTAAGAGTCCAAAAATTTGGGAACATCTGAACTGCGGTCAAAATTTGAACAGGTAAAAACATAATTAGAAAGGAAAATTTTCGCTTTTGAATTGTGGTCAGTTTCTAGAACTATAGGGGGGATTTTAAGCTCTTTTTAAGCTAATGTCATCACACTTGGACGATATCACAAGGGCTTTGCAATGTAGGTTTAGACTCTGAGAAATTTTCATTGATTGATTCTAAAAACACATTTGTAGAATGAGAAAAGAATGATTTTTTAGGTAGCAAATAAATTTTGACTGAACGTCTTTCTAATAATGTGTCCCCCGCTGTGATTTTGACCGCAGTTCAAACAGAGATTGTGTCAGACCGGATAGGCTAAAACACTTTGTACGGTAATTCGATGGTATGTACCGAGAAATTTTTGCTCAACATTTGAGGGAATTGATAATGAGACAATAATCAATAATTTGATTCCAAAATTAAGTATAAGAAGTTCAGACAAAAAATTTACACGATAAAGTCTTCGCAACAGTTTTTTGGGCTAAAGAAGGACTTTTGCTATTAAGGTTTATACTACCTGAGACAATCATATCAAAAGGAAACTATGCAAAATATTCTCAAGTTTTGCGTGATTCTATCAACTTGAAAAGGCATGAAATCCACAAGTCAGATCTACTGCTCTTTCACAAAATCTGACTGGAGTATATATTAGCAAATGTACAGGTTGCCATCTAAATCTGTAGTGCCCAGCAGTATAACCATTTACTCTACAGTCCTAATCTATCTTCTTTCAGTTATATTTTGTTAGAAACTATCTTGAACGGCACGATTTTTTAAGAATGCAGGAGCCACCAGTCAAAAATGTAAAAATCAAATCCATTTACTTAGTACTTTTAGTGAATGCTATCATAATGTGTGGTACAATTTTGTTAAATGCATAAATAAACAATTTAAGTCCATTGTATGTGCTTCTTTATGTCTTGATCATAACCAAAATATTATTATTAAACACATATAACTGATTTTATTGAAAATTTTGGTTATTTGTGTTTAAATTGTAATAGGAAAATTAAAATTGAAAGATAAAGTATTTAAATTTGCCGCCAATTTTAGTTGAACATACAAACAAGAGACGGCGCCAGGCTTGAAATTTTGACGACTGGAAAATTGTGTGTTACTTGATTTTCTATATTGAGTATATTCTATGGTTAGTTTGCAATAATTTATGTAAACAACACTCTTTATTAAGGCGACAAAAATAAAGCTTTTTGCTTTGGTATAGGAAAAAAAGTCTACGATTAAGGTAAGTTTATAAAAGCATATTTTCGGGTTAGCTTATTCGCAAACTTTCTTAAAGACATAAATATGCCAAAAGGGAAACCAATATGCCATGCCGCGTCGATGTCAAAAAGTGATAGCAAATAATGGTAATTACTAAGTTAATACTTTCATAATATTGTTAAATTCGTTTTTGTTGTTAAGTAAAAATTTTTTCTGTAAAAGTTGCTTTACTTTTGTCGCATATAATTTTGATATGTTTCAATAAGTAAAACACTTGAAAACCTAAATGATAACCGATGCCAATAAAAAAAATTTTTTACAATTTACTTATGATACCAAAGCAAATAGAAATACCTAGATTTCGTCAGATAATAGAAGGAACTATAAAGATAACTATATAAAGATTTTTTTTTAATAGTTGCTTTACTTTTGTCCGATAGTGTATACATTATATATTTTTAGACGCGACGTGCCCCCCAATGGGATGGGCCTTTTCCTGCTCAAGCCCGACGAATGCCAATACCGCTGCCCCGAGCTCGACGCTTGCATCAACGCCACCGTTTGGTGCGACGGCGTCGAAGACTGTCCTTCCGGCATCGACGAAGCTCTAACTCACTGCTCTATAATCTTGCAGTTGCCACCCCTTTATCTCTTTTTGGGCGCGTGCGGGATTCTTATTTCGAGCTTCGCGACGTGTATGGCCGTGTGGAAAGCTTGTCGTCGAAGACCGCGTTCGATACTCCAAACGCGTTTGAAGAGTCTTTCATCTGACACTGCCATCATCGACGAAAAGGGAGTGATTTGCTGACACAGCGACAATTCTGTGCGTTATGTCGAAGTCGATCGCGTCACAACCGTGTGACACGTCGAAATTGACCTAAAACACAGAATTGACAAACGGACTTTTATACATTTCGTAATTTAGAAACGGACCAAGCAAATTAAGCGAATTTCTTAGCGTTGTGATTACGATAGGCGTACCTGGTAGAGGATTGAGGATAGCGAGCTTTTTGCGAATCGTGGAGTGAGCTTTTCAACTTTTTTAAATCGCATTTGTTACTAAACACACATTTATTTTGATAACAGAAAGGACGTGATGACGAAAATGTTTTTGGCACTGTACTGACGAGTACAATGACTGATCACACGTTTTGTAAATACTTAGATAAATCAAAAAATTTAGCGAATTTCTCAAATTTGTTAGGTAATAATAAGCGTACCGCGATTACGTGAATAGTTGGACTTTAGTTCGATTTAAACAATTTTTAGTGTAATCGAGGTAACGCTGAAATATTTTCAGCTGAAAATAATTACGAAAATGCATATCAAATATGCTGAAAATGCTTAAAGTTCACTGCCATAACTGTGGCGAAAACATCGTTTTATTGTTCTGCTCGATTCTTCGAAAATATGACTTAAGTTCATTTTTGTTAAACGCACAAGCTATGAAATTCATATCAAAATTTTACACCAAGAAAACCTTATTTTAGTTCAGCAATTGTTACGATAACATTGTTTCAACTTTTATTATAGTAACTAAAAACAATATCTTGTAGAGTTGTTAAAAAATAGAAAAAATTCCTAGTAAACACGATTTTCATTGTACATAACTTCCATTATAAAAAAGATCTTTTGAATACGTATATGGAGCTATTGGTAGCACAAGTTGGTCAGGTGAACTGACAATAAAGTAGATGAATTTAAGTAACAATAAATCTATGACTAGAACGACAATTTTGTTACAAAAGTAAGCAGAGAAGAGTTATATTGACGAGTGTGTTGTGACTGTTAAATCTACAATATAGAAAAATAAACTATTTTAAAAAAAGTACAAAACCGTTTCATTCTCCATTCCCCCTCCAAAAATTGAAAACAAAAGAAATAAAATGCCGACATTTATAAGCGGAAACTGGTTTTAAACCATCACCACTAAAAATAACGTACTACAACGCGCAAGCGTTCAATTCCAACGAGGTTATTCATATTTTAATTTACTCCCACAATAAGAAAATGACGGGAACGGTAAGTACACATTCATCACTTAACCACGATATATGATAAAATTTCTGCAGCCTACAATCCGACCTGCAAGCAACTTCGATCCCGATCAAGATGCTACGGCTTTAAAAACAGCCTTTAAAGGCTTCGGATCGGATGAAGATGCAATCATAGATATCATAACTCACCGAAGTAACGAACAACGTCAACAAATCGCGGCTAGATTCAAAACGATGTATGGAAAGGTAAGTCAACATTGCGAGTTAATCACTTATCCAAACTTAATCCCGTTCAGGATTTAATCAAAGAATTAAAAAGCGAATTGAGAGGGAATTTAGAAGACGTTATCGTTGCTTTGATGACTGAACCGATCGAATTTCAAGCCAAACAACTCCACAAAGCGATCAGTGGGTTAGGTACCGATGAGGGGACCATCGTCGAGATACTCTCAATCCACGATAATGACGAAGTTATCAAAATTTCGCAAGCGTATGAAGGATGTAAGTCATTAAATAGTATCAAAATGAAATTTGACCAAAAAAATTCTAGTGTATCAAAGATCTCTTGAAAATGACATTAAGGGCGACACCTCCGGTACCGTAAAAAGACTCCTCGTCTCCTTATCAACGGTAAATTAACAAAAATAACACGAAAACTCCCTCAAACCCACTTGTAGGGCCATCGCGACGAATCTGAGACCACCGACCAAGACAACGCTTTCAAAGAGGCCAGAACCCTCCTAAGGGCCGGCGAATTGATCCAAGGGACCGACGAATCAACATTCAATGCCATTCTCTGCCAAAGAAACCGTTCCCAACTTCAACTCATTTTCGAAGAATATGAAAAAATCACAGGCCATCCATTTGAAAAAGCCATAGAAAATGAATTCTCCTTGACTGCGAAAGAATCACTTATCGCCCTTGTCCACTGTTTAAGGGACCGAACCGATTATTTAGCGAAACGTCTCCACGACAGCATGGCCGGAATCGGCACTGACGACCGCACTCTTATCAGAATTGTGGTCTCAAGATCGGAAATTGACCTGGAAGACATCAAAGATACTTTCCAGAATAAATACGGGAAGACTCTCGCCGAATTTATACAAGGCGATTGCTCGGGTGATTACAAAAAGTGTCTCCTAAGTATCGTTGGTTAAATAATTAAAGTGATTTAACTACGAAACTGGGTTTTATTTCTGCGATAAGAGTGGAAATTTATTCTTACGGTCATAATTTTCTAGCGATAAGAACGGATGTATTCTTGGTTGCATACCTTACGATCAGTAAATGGAAATCTGTGTTGTGGTTACACGTTTTTTTGACTTGCGGTGGTGTTTAGTGTCACAATTGACTAAAAATTTTGTCAATGACAAAACTATGTTACAATCGATTTTAAAGAACTCCGAACAAGCTTTCAAGGCCAAAATCCGGGAGGACCGAGCTTCGGTGAATCGTTTAGGCACGAATCTAACCTTAGATGAATACAAATTCATAATTTCGAAGGTTTTAAAAGCCAAATCGAATCAAGATTTTCAATTACCGAGTGACAAAACTCTATTGGATAAATACGACGTCCTTGAATTAAACAACGGCGCAAAAGAATTAATCGTACCGTCGAATGAAACCTCCAAGATTATTTTTTACGTTCACGACGACGAGCTTTACAAAATTTTACTCGACGCTCATTTACATTTAAAACATGGCAATTGTGACGAAATGTTGCAATATCTCAACCAGAGTTACAAAAATATAACGTATAAAGACGTGTCAATATTTTTGAGCTTTTGTCAAGATTGTCAAGACAAAGCTACTCTGGATGAGAAAGATCTGATTGAAAAATATTCACATTTTAACACCGTTTGTCAAATTGAATTAATCGACTTTGAATCGTGTGAAGACAATGGATACAAATTCGTTATGATCTACCAAGAATTATTAACAAAATTCGTGATCCTCAAACCGTTAAAATCGTACGAATCTGAAGAAGTAGCCCAAAATTTAATCAACATTTTCGGTACTTTAGGCCCTCCTATCTATCTCAAATCTAACAAGAGCGACGACTTCGTCGAGGGAATAATAAGCCGGCTAAAAGTCCTCTGGCCCCCTGTTAAAATCGAATATTTAAAATCGGACCGTTGGGATGATCTAATCGGGCCTGAAATCGAAACTATGGTCAGAGTTTGGATGACCAATAATAAGAAATCGCAATGGAGTGAAGGAGTCCGGTTTGTCCAATTGAAAAAAAATACAACGTTTCATTCGAAATTGAAAAAAACACCATATGAAGCGCTCTTCAAACATCCAGTCGAGACACTTTACCCGAAAATGGAAAAAAACGGGGACACACAGGAAGAATCTGAAGATTTTCAAGAAATTGAGATGGACGTGAAGGAAGAACCGGTGGATGAAATCGAAAATGACCCTCTGGAGCTGGCCGAAGAAGCCCTCGAGATTGCGAAGAGTGAACCCGAAAGCGACTAATGTTTATGTATAAAACAAACAACAATAAATAATTAAGATTTTGGGGGACATTGATTTTGTTTGACACTGTACAAGTTAGTGTCAATTCGCACGTGCGCAGACTATTTTGTAAAGTCAGCTGTTTCTAAAAATTACTTTTTTTAGAATATAAAGAATTTCCAAATAAGAAAAACGTGTCAAGAATTTCGCACCAAGTCATTTTCAATGAAAAAATTGATCTCTCGTCACAAATTCAAAAAAATTGTGATTACTTCGAATTATATAACCTCAAACTGTGTGAGTGAGACAAAACAAGTTGTCCAACTTTCGACTTAAATTTCCGATTTCCCCTCAATTTAATACCGAAAATGGTAACAAGATGTGTAGTCCACGGTTGTAAAAGCACCTCCGACTCCAGTAAAGAAAAAGTTTCATTCTTTCAAGTCCCCAAAGCTAAATTAAAGTTGTGGCAAAAGATAGTTCGAACCAAACACCGGCCTCTGACGATAAAAGACAGGATTTGTGAGAAACATTTCAAAGAATCGGACATTATTAAAGAAATTATAACACCACTTTACTCGGTAAGCCCCTTTAAAACTGACTATTTGACAATTAAATGACACTGTGTGACCTTGACTTTAAATTTGTAATTTTTTAGTACAAATTGGACAGGATTCGATTGAAACCCAACGCATTACCATCCATGTTACCCATTTATCGTAATTACCAACTCCGGTCACGGAAATTAACATGGGAGCCCCCTATAAAAAAAATCAAACTCGAACAACCAATCGAATTTATCCACATAGACGAAATGGACAAACTTGTTAAGTAATTGGTATTAAATTTCAATAAATAATCTGTGATTTCAGGAAACAACACCTGAAGAGGTTTTCAGGTCTCATTTGGAAACGGCACGTTTAAAATACAATTATTCTAAACACATGACTTTAGAAGAATACAACCAAATAGTGGCGCAAGTTTCGGAAGCGAAAAAGACGAAAGACGATTCAAAATTGTCAAAATATAATGTAGTTATCATCAATGGACAAAAAAAATTAACAGCGACACACCCAACTGACCTTCAGTATTACGTTCACGATGATGAACTTTTTCACATTTTGCAACACACTCATATCGCTTTGCAACATGGAAATCAGAGACAAATGATGACAGAATTGAAAAAACGCTACAAGAACATTATCGGTGGCGACGTAGCCACTTTTATCGAATTTTGTCCCCGATGTATACGAAATTCTAAAGCAAAAGACCACAAAAGCGTACCGATGATTTTTAGTAAAATCAGTTCGATTTGTCACGTTAATTTATTAGATTATCGGGCTTGGCCTGACGGTGATTTTAAATACATTCTTGTCTACCACAACGAAATGACAAATTTTTGTCAATTGAAAGCTCTAAAGACGAACAAACCGAGCGAAATTGCTGAACATTTAGTGGATATTTTCACCTTTGTTGGGGCCCCGACTGAAATGCACACCCGCGAGAAAGATTCCCACTTTCTCGAAAACATTCTAAAAGAATTGAAACAAATTTGGCCAAATTTAGTCATCAAACCGGTCAAAAGTAACCAACATGAGATTTTAGCCGAAATCAAACGGATCGAATACGAAACAAAATCAATCCGAAATCGGAAACGGTGGAGTTCGATCCTGCCTTTCATCCAATTTGAGAAAAATAAAGACATATCGTCGGGGGTACGACCGTATGAGAGACTATTCGGGCTTGTGGAACCTTACGAAAAAACAGTTTTGTCGTCAAACATTCAAAAAATCAGCAAAAACACGATTGTGCAAAAGCCCGAAACGACATTTGTCGACGAGGAAAACATCGGACAAATCTGTACACATGAACCTGACGAAATCGAGGGAGACAATGAGGGAATCCCCCGGTTTTTTCTCCCCTCATTTTTCAAAATCCCCAAACCGACAAGAAAGAAAATTGAGCTCGAGAAAGCTTTCAAAAAATTGACTCGAAACAACACAGCGATTTTGACGAAAGCAAAATACAAAAATTTAATTAAAAAAGTCAACACTTATCGAAAATTGAAACACTATGATACTCTCGAAATAGATGGAGTTGTAGTACTTATCACTTCTACGACTAATGGTACCGGCACTATTAAATATTACGTCCACGAAGACGAACTTTTCGATATACTCCACTACACTCATATTAATTTCGATCACGCAAGCCACTCCGAAATGGCTAGGAAACTTAAAAGAAAATTCGAAAATATAACAAACGAGATTATTTCAACCTACTTGTTATTGTGTCCGGAGTGTAAAGGTATTTCAGACAGTAATACTGCAACATATTCAGACAATTATGCGCCACAACTCGAGATAGTTGGCGACATTATTCCTCACAATGAAATGTCTTCGAAATGTTCAATCAATTTTCTCAATTTTGAGTCACAACTTGACCATGATTACAAATATGTGATGGTTTATGTAAACACACTGACAAAATTTCACATCCTTAGACCAATGAAACATAAAACAAGCAAAGAAATTGCGGATATTTTGTTGGATATTTTTACTTTCTTAGGCGTCCCGTCAAAAATCTTCACACAAGAGTCTCGTTTACTGTGGCGTGCAATCACAAAAGTGAGACAATTGTGGCCCGGATTTTGCCTGATTGTCCAAATAAGACAAGGAATTGCCCCTAGAATGATCGACAGAGAATTGGAACATTGGATGTGCAGTAACAAGACCCTCGAATGGACCAAAGGACTCGACCACGTACAACTAATGCGAAACAAATTCTTAAATTACAATATTGAGAAAAGTCCTTTCGATGCACTCTTCGCTGCGACCGCAGGCCTCGAGCAAGACCAACCCGAATTGATTTCTGAAGAAGAAAAAGACCCACTTTCGTCTTACGACATGGAAAAAATTCCCCAAGTCAAAAAACAAAGACGAGTTCGTCGAAAAGCCCCATTTAAAAGCCTCCAAACTTTCGTTATGAGTGGGCTAACGTCCCGCTGTTCCGTCAATTTGATCGATTATCACACCAAACCTGATGGCCACTACAACTTTATCATGGTTTATCAAAACACATCGACAAAATTCTCGATTCTAAAACCACTCAAAACGAAATTTCCTGACGAAGTGGCCGAAAATCTAGTCGATATTTTTACATTAGTCGGTGCTTCTGATGTGGTCGAGTCATATCACGGCCGAGAGTTTGTTCGTAAACTAGCAAAAAGTGTCAATCATCTTCACCCGAATTTGATTTTTGAATACAACTTGACGACGTATCGAAATTATAAAAGTGTGTGTAGTATTGAAATAGAAATACAAAGATGGATGTTGCACAATGGGACGCAGCAGTGGACACAGGCGCTTCCTTTTGTACAATTGACCACGAATAAGTCTTTTGATGAGGAGATGGCTGTTGTGCCTTTTGAAGCGTTCTTCAAGGGATTGGGATATGCAGGGAGAGAAGAAGAGGATGTTAAATAGTGTTATTATTTTCCTACTGTTATGAATAATAAATTTAAAAATTATGAAATTGTTTGTTATTTCCTGGTTATTTCCCGTTATGGCCGATTTAATAATTATTCAATGTGTCGCATTAAAAAAATATTAGCATAGCAAAGATCTTGTGTTTGCAAAGCATTTATTTTTTAACCGACTTTTAAAATGCTATTTATTGCCTAAAGATAACACAGATAGATAGTAGATCCCCGATACTAAGTTTAGTGTTTATTTTTCGTTGTATGGTGAAAAGGTATCCTAAAAATGTATGTACTAGAATACAATTCTTTGGTCTTAGCCTTTTAAATTGTTTTTATTGTATACCAAGAAAACAACTCCTAGTTCATTTTCTACTGCAATATAAGTTGCGTAACCATGATCATTGTGGTGGTTTTATCTTAAAAAATGACCTCCATTTCCATTATCGAACCATTGGTAAAATATTATCAAATTAACTTCCCATTAGAGTAGATGACACAACTTTCACTATAACAAGTCACGTGATGACCCGACCTTGTTTTGTTTCAGTGTGACGTTAGCAGAGAAGAAGTGACTTCTGAATCACCAACAACGTTTGTGAAAATTCTTCTTACTCACGACACGTCACACATAAAAACAAAATCTTCATATAAAAGGTGAGTTTGATTTATTTTTTCACCATTACGCGATTGACGTGGCAAAAATTTAACCACTTCCATTACTAAAAATAGAATCTTAATAACGCCGGTAGCTTTTAACAGATGTTATAAATCGAATTTAATTAAATTAAACAATTTGTTGTTACAGCGTAACTGCAAAATGAGTTATCCAGGATATCCACCCTATCAAGCGGTAAGTTATTGCGCATAAAAATCTCAATTTTTTTATATCATTTAATAACAATTTGATAACAATTTCCTTCCGCCACACCTTGTTAATAAAATTATTAGAAATATAACATTAACACAAAGTCACATGATCAGCCACTTTGGCGCCAATCATTCAACTATTGATTTTTCCCAGGGTTCAAACTACCCGCCGAACCCAAACTCCGCGCCCCCTTATCCCCCCAATCCTAACTATCCACAACAAGGAGGCGTTTATCCCCCCAGTGTGGGGTACAATACAGGCTCTCCTATGTACATGCCGCAACCCTACGGCGGTGGCGGGTACCCTCCTCCAACCGGGGGTTCCCCCTACCCCCAACCTTCTCCTTACCCCAACCAAGGAGCTGGTCCCAACCCAGGTCAAGGATCTTCTCCCTATCCCAATCAAGGGGCTAGTCCCTATCCGCCTCAAGGACACTCTCCTTATCCCAGTCAAGGGGGCCAAGGAGCCTCTCCCTATCCCAGTCAAGGGGCTAGTCCTTATCCAGCTCAAGGATCCTCGCCCTATCCCAGTCAAGGATCCTCTCCATACCCTTCCCAACCCTACGGGCAAGGACATCACTCCTCTAGCTATGCACCCTCTTATAATCAAGGCCAACACTCAATCAAGGTAGGTCTAAGGGGGTTGAATTAAATCGAAGAATTCAATTCGTGTTTGCAGAGCTCCCCAACTGTGGTCCCCGCGCACCCTTTCAACCCCCGCGAAGATGCTGAAATATTACGCAAGGCCATGAAAGGTTTCGGAACGGATGAAAAAGCCATCATCAATGTTCTAGCCCGTCGTACGAACGCTCAACGATTAGAAATCGAAGTTCAATTCAAAACCCTCTATGGCAAGGACTTAATCAGCGACTTGAAAAGCGAATTAACAGGAAATTTCGAGAATTTAATCGTGGCTATGATGACTCCACTCCCTCAGTACTACGCTAGGGAGATCCACGATGCCATCACCGGCGTAGGAACCGACGAAGACGTCCTCATCGAAACCATGTGCACCCTTAGCAATGCCGAAATTCGTACAATTCGTGACGCCTACCACAGAAGTAATCCAATTTTCCTCAAATTTAAACCTTATTAACCCGCAATTTTTAGCCTACTATCAAAACTTGGAAAGCGACCTGAAGGGCGACACCAGTGGACATTTCCGCCGACTCATGGTGTCACTCTGCAGTGCCGGACGTGACGAAAGCATGCAAACTAACCCTCAGGGTGCAACCGCCGATGCTCAGGCTTTGCTCCGTGCCGGCGAGCTTCAAGTCGGGACCGATGAATCAACCTTCAATATGATACTCTGCCAAAGAAATAATGCCCAACTTCGGTTGATTTTCGATGAGTATCAACGCTTGTCAGGCCATGATATCGAAAAGGCTATCAAAAGTGAGTTTTCGGGTGATATTGAAGAAGGGCTTTTGGCTGTTGTGAGGTCGATTAAGAATCAAGCGGCGTTCTTCGCGAAGCGGTTGAATAAATCAATGAAAGGGTTGGGAACGAATGATCGAGATTTGATTAGGTTAGTTGTGACGAGATCAGAGATTGACATGGGGGATATCAAGAGAGAGTATCAGGCGAAATATGGAGAATCACTCGCTGATGCCATTAAAGTACGTTTTTTGATACAAATTAGGTAACGAAATGTAACAATTTTGTTTTAGGGCGACTGTTCTGGTGATTATAAAAAATGTCTTTTGGCACTTATTGGAGAATCGTAAACTGCTACTTAATGTGTCAAATTTTTAAATATGTGTTTTTCATATAGTTGGATTTTATTATTCATTGTTCAACGTATATAAAACTGTATTTTTCTAATGTTATAATATTAAACTTACAAGAATATGGCCAATAAAATCGAATAATGTATTTTATGAGCAAAATTCTTATATTTAGTATTGATCTGTTTATGTACACTTTTTTGCTATTGTTATAAAATTTGAATGGTTAATAAATATAACGTGCAGCATATTTTTTTATTCCCTAGAGTCTCATAAGCATTTTTTTCTTTTTAATTCAGTTAATTAAAATTGAAGATAACTTACCTTTAGCGCAGGTCAGGTGGTTGAGGAATTATTCTGAAAAAAAAACAACTAAAATGACTATTCTATTAAACTTTAGTTACATTTTTATAACATGCTTTACCTACTTTCTTTATGTGATACAATATTGTACTACATGGTGAACATCAAATATTATTTTAGTCCAACATTTGCATTCTTTATCATTAAAAAAATCCTTTTGAAGATTGGATTGGTGGTAACCAACACAACTTGGTTTATGAACAATTTAAGTAGGTAATAAAAAAATCTGGTAAAAGAGGTGAATTTAAAACAACGCTTAAGAAAAATAAAGGAAACGCTGAAGTAAAAACAAGTTTTTTTTATTATGCGATGAGAATAATAAAGCCTAGTTTGCAAGAAAAAAAATTGCATATGTAACCAACTGCTCCTATTATTACATGGTATTTCCATTTTATTAAGTTTTATAAATTAGGTATCTACCAAATATTAATCCTTTAAAATCGATAAAAACCTAATACAAATATTGACTGAGGCGCACCTGTGGCGCCATCTCAACTGTTGCGCTCCTGAATAATTGTTATAATTAGTGAAAACAAGTGCAAAAAACTACTAAACAATCAATTCTTAGTCGATTTAAAATGCAGTAAATCACAATGAAATCATGAAAGAACGCATGGCGCCGTCTTTTTTAATCAACTAAACAAGACACGTAACCCAGATAATAAACAAATTCTGAAACATCTGTTGCTAAAGTTGGCGTAAACAAATTGACTGTTTCTCTAGTTTTGTCACAACACGTTTGGTAAGTCTCTTTTATGGTGATTCCCGATCAATGTAAAAAGTGATAATTCAACAAAAAGAATATTTATACAGTACAGTAAGACATTTAATTATGTATTTATATCAGTAGTTCAAGGTTTTATACAGAGTGTTTATTTCTAAACTCACAAATAATAAATATCCTGAGGCCTTTTTCTAACAATTTATAATAATGTTGTGAAATGGGGAGAACAATTTTCTAATAAAATCTTGACGACAGTCATGACGTCACATCTCCATTAGTCATCAATTGCAATAAATGTTTCAAGTAAGGTTGTCCAATTAAGTGTTTTATCTTTCAGTACTGTATGCGTAACCGGCCTTAAGAGTCGTGGCTTACTGAGATTATTAACTTCCGTCGCAAAAACTTAATAGGATAAGTAAGTAAGTAAATTAAAACAACTGTGATAATAAAAAAAAAACACTTTTTAATTTTTTCTAGACCAAAATGAGTGGCTCTGGCTATCCATACCCCCAGGTATGTATGCATAATTAATCATTGCCATATCACAAAATACTACTCATTGCGCGCTATTGATAACATTGTCAAGTAGTTGCAAAGATAAAAAAGTATCAAGGAAATATAAAAATATATTTTTATCAGGGTTCGAATTATTCACCATACCCCTCAAATTCAGCACCTCCATACCCCCCAAATCCTCCTTACCCCACGCAAGGAGGAGTTTTTGCTCCCAGTCTGGGCTTCAATGTTGGGTCACCCATGTATATGCCACAACCCTACGCCGGTGTTGGCTACCCTTCGTCAGCAAGTGGAACGTCTTATGCTTCAAGTGCGCCCCCTTACCCAAATCCCACCCCCACACCAAACACGTACCCCCAGTCAAACCCATATCCAAGTCACAAACCATCACCCTACTCGAATCCAAGCACGTATCCCAATCCCCAGTCAAATCCATATCCAAGTCCCAAACCATCACCCTACTCGAATCCAAGCACGTATCCCAGTCCCCAGTCAAATCCATATCAAAGTCCCAAACCATCACCCTACTCGAATCCAACCCCAAATTCAAATCTATATCCTAGTATCAAACCATCAAACCCATATGGACACCAAGCAACCCATTCGAATTCCTATCAATCGCCAAAACTGAAGGTACAATTCCAATTTTTTGACGGAACTCGACGAAATTTTTGCTTGCAGAGGTCTCCGACTGTGGTCCCCGCCAACCCTTTTGACCCCACAAAAGATGCGGAAATTCTACGTAAGGCCATGAAAGGCATTGGAACGGACGAAAAAGCCATTATTAACGTTCTAACAAAACGTTCAAACGCCCAACGATTGGAAATCGCAGTCCAGTTTAAAATCCTCTACGGAAAAGACCTAATCAAAGAATTAAAAAGCGAACTGAGTGGGAATTTCGAGAAAACAATCATCGCTTTAATGACTCCACTTCCCCAATTTTACGCGAAAGAATTGCACGATGCAATTTACGGGCTTGGAACCGATGAAACGGTCCTCATTGAAGTCATGTGCACCTTAACTAATGCAGAAATAAGGACAATCAGAGAAGCGTATCATAAAAGTAAGAAACTCATTGTTGCAATTTGACCTAACCTTGATTATTTAGCCTATAACAAAAACCTCGAAAGTGACTTAAAAGGTGACACCAGTGGTCATTTTCGACGCCTCATGGTCTCACTCTGCAGTGCTGGACGTGACGAAAGCATGGTCGTAGACCACGCAGCTGCCATTTCCGAAGCTCAGGCACTTTACGAAGCCGGGGAAAAACGCTGGGGCACTGATGAATCCATGTTTAATATGATTTTATGCCAACGAAATCACGAACATTTGAAAATGGTATTTCAAGAGTATCACAGGATTTCAGGACACGATATTGAAAAGGCCATCAAAAAGGAATTTTCGGGTGATATTGAAGATGGGCTTTTGGCTGTTGTGAGGTCGATTAAGAACCAACCAGCTTTCTTTGCCAAATGTTTGCACAAAAGTATGAAAGGTTTGGGGACGAATGACCGGGATTTGATTAGATTGGTGATCACTCGCTGTGAAATCGATATGGGGGACATTAAAAGAGAATATATTAAAAATCATGGAGAATCTTTGGCTGCTGCTATCAAAGTAAGAGTTATTTTTTTGGAAAATTTTGAAACTAACTCTGAATATTACAGGGAGATACTTCAGGAGACTACAGAAGGTGTCTTTTGGCCTTAATTGGAGAAGCTTAATTTATAACCCAACATTTTTATATTTTATCAATACTTACAAATAAATGTTGACTCACATTTTGTATTTTCATTCTTTATTCCCAAAATTTAATAAAATTTAGTCAACGATTTATAAGAAAACACACCCTTTCTGTGAAAACCCGGTCACCGATTTGGTCCCCTCCAAAAATTTTGCAACAGGAAATAAAATTAATCTTTCTGATAAGCCACTTTATATTGATTTCAAAGTTTAGCTTCAGTCAGTCTTTTTAGGTTTCTACTTGCAAAAAGTTGTCCCAAGGTAAGTAAGTCAGATATTTTTTTTTCTAATAATAAAAAAAATCATTTAGATCACAATGAATCACTGCGTATGTTCCAAATTACCCAAGGTATGTTACCCCGAACTAAATAAAAAAACTTGATAACACGTTTATTACTCTAGCACTCCCAAATTGCAACATCTCCAACAGTGACACCTTCAAAATTTTTCCTTTCAACTGAAGATGCACAAGTTTTACACAAAGCTATGAAAGGATCCGGAACTGATGAAAAAGCCATTATTAACGTGATCGCAAAACGGTCCTTAGCCCAACGTTTGGAAATAATTTCGCAATTTAATAAACTCCACTCCAAAAATTTAGTCGACGAACTTAAAAAAGAATTAAGTGACGATTTTAAATACTTAATTTTGGCTCTATTAACCCCACGTGAAGAATTTTACGCTGAAGAATTACACAGGGCTATGTGTGGGTTAGGAACCGATGAAGATGTCCTAATTGAAGTTTTATGTACTTTGAATAATTCAGAAATTGTTAAAGTCAGACACGCTTATTACAAACGTAAGTTTCATTTATTATCACAGAATTTTTTTTATTTTTTTGTTATAGTGTTTCACCAAAGTCTCGAAAATGATATAAAAGGTGACACAAGTAGCTACTTCAAACAACTTTTGATAGCCCTCTGCGGCGTTCAACGCGACGAATGCTGCTCCACCAATCGTGACGAGGCAATTTCCGAGGCAGAAAATCTCTACAACGCTGGGGAAAAACAATGGGGAACTGATGAATCCACGTTTACTAAAATTCTGACCGAGAGAAATTACCCTCAACTTCGCCTTATTTTCGAAGAATATGAAAAACTGACTGGTCACGGGATCGAGAAAGCAATCGAGAGTGAATTCTCCGGAGACATTAAAGACGGTCTATTGGCGATTGTTGAAACTGTTCAAAATAAAGCAAAATTTTTTGCCAAAAAGTTGCATAAGAGTATGAAAGGACTGGGGACCAATGATCGAGACTTGATAAGAGTGGTTGTGACCAGGAGTGAAATTGATATGGGAGAAATTAAAGCCAAGTACCAAGAGGAATATGGAAAGTCTTTGGCTGAGGCTATCAAGGTAGAATAATGGTTTACATGTAGTTTATTACTTGAAAATTGGGTTTTTATAGGGCGACACATCTGGGGATTATAAAAAATGCCTTTTAGCTCTGATTGGCGAAGAATAACTGCGGTCCGAGGCAAATAATTAAACGTAATCGTTCTTTACTATTCTATTTATTTAATGTATTAAATTATATTGTATTATATTCTATCTGTTTTATTTAAATAGTTTTCTTACAATATTTACACATTTATCTAGGTCTTTTCCTCATGAATCACCGTCAACACTGATAACAGTGATATAACAAGGAAACTGTTATTAAAAATTTCTTAGAAAAACAAAATAAATATATTATTTTTCCAATGACAAATATATCTTATCGAAGAATTTTTAATTAAGTAATTAAAAATGCTAGCTATGGAAATAATTTGTGGAATAAAAAATGTGCAATTAACGCATATATAATTAGATTATTTCACTTTATTTTTAATGCATTGCAACGTAATAATTAATTAAAAAATAGCCATTTTTCGTAATTTCGTATACTCAAAAACGTAGTACTTGTTTCGTTAAAAATAGGGAGAATAGCACAAAAAACACAACAAAACAAAGTAAATAGCTTGGGTTTTCCCCGCATTTTCTCGATTTTACAATAATTATAATAGCACCATTACGTTTTTCTCAAAAGAGAAGTAGTATACAAAGCCGCCTAATAGATAAGCAAAAGTGTTTGCACTTTTTATTATACAAACGTTTCCAATTACTTAAATTGATAATGATAACTGTCGAAGCACAAAACACTTTGAACTTGCATAAAAATCACTTTTTTTGAACCGTTTCAAGACACAAAACATAAATCAAAAATTTTAGGAAACAGACTCAATTTTTTCGCCGGTATGCGGCGCCACTAATCATACACAACTACTTGATTTTGTTCAAAAATTCGCTTAAAAACATAAAAAAATGCGTAAACCGGCAAATGATTGTCACCAAAAACTCAACCAGAAAAAATCACTGTAACTTTTTATTATATAAAATATTTTTTACGGGTGAGAGAAGCACCATTAAATTTTTTCTCGAAAAAGAAAAGTTCGCCAAGCCGCCTAATAAATAACCAAAATTTTCGCACTTCTTATTATACAAACCTTTCCAGTTAATGAAATTGATAACTCACGAAACACAAAACACTCTGAACTTGCCCAAAAATTAGACTTTACTACTTTAAAGACACAAAACAAAAATCAAAAAATTTAAGGAAACACAGACTTAAATTTTTTCGCCGGTATGCAGCGCCACCAATCATACACAACCACTTGATTTTGTTCAAAAATTCATTCAACAAAAACATAAAACAAATCGGCAAATATTGTAACCAAAAACTCAAAAATCAGACAAAATCACTGTAGTTTTAATCATAACACTAATTTTTCATTAAAATAAAAGCTGTTTTTTACCGGTGAGTGCATCTGCTACCTAACCTTAAATAACAGAATTGTGAGTTTCTCCCCATTTGAAAACAAGTAAATGATTAGTGGACTATTTAGTTAAGTAAATAAGAGAAATCTCACTTACGTGAATGTTGTCAATTCGGAACAAACAGTTTTTTCGTAAAAACAATCACACGAATCAAATTTGAGGAAAAAACCTTGAAACCCAATGGTGCCAATTAAAAAAAAACTCACTAAATTTATCCAATTCAATAGAAATATAAAGTGTAATAAGCACAAGTTCAATTTTTTTGGTATTTGTGTAATACAGGACATTTGTTTTTTGCTTGAATTTCTTATAATTAAAATTGAATTTACAAAATAAATTTGAATTTGACAGATCACGTCCTGTAAATAGCGCAGCAGCGAGCACGATCCAACAACATAAACAAAAAAGAGGCGTGACACATTTATTTGTCAAAACAATTAATCTCATTTATTACTTTCACTTTCGCCGTTTTTACGTAATTCCACAATGTCACAAAAGATAGTTTTAACAGGTGAGTTCTTAAAATCCCCTTATTCCCAATCACCGCCCCAAATCAATCATTTAATAATTCAGGCACCCTCGACATGCTGCACAGCCTCTACGACTTCAAAGCGACTTATGCAAAAACCCTCAGCTTTCGCACCAACGAATACTTCATCCTCCACCAAAGCAACACCAAGCACAAAAACTGGTGGGAAGTGATAAACGAAGCTGGCGAAATGGGGTTCATCCCCTCAAACTACGTAGAGACTGTCACAGTGAACCCCTCGTTTTACCTCCAATTCGTCGAGAACTGCCTCGAGAATTTGAAAAAACGCGCGCCTGCGGAGAATCTCACCGATCGACACGAGATCATAGCCCGATTGAAGGAAGTGAAGAAGGAGATTGAGGAGCTCCCCGAAGGTGGGGGCCACGGCGACGACGTCAAGACGTTACATTACAAAAACTCGGATGTGGCGCACTTCCAGAGTGCGAGCTCGCAGTCGTCGCTCCTAACCGAGCTTAAAAACGATATTGAGGACCCCATCAGGCCCATAAAAACCAACAAAGAGCGGGTGAGGAAATCCATCGAGAACCTCCACGAGGAGGGCTGCAACGACGTGAAGAAGTCGGACATACCCTCTCCCGCAATCACAGACCAATCCGTTTACGAATTGGTCGAAAGTGTGAGAATTAATACTCAGTTGTCTTACGAGATGTCTCGAGTGGCGGTGGTTACGGTCGTCCAAGGCCTCCACGAGCTGCTCCCAGCCTCGGTTTTTCCGTACCTGAGCACGATTTTATCCCAAGTACAAAAATCACTCAATGTGGATGACGTCCAAATTGACCAAACACACGACGCTAGTCGACTTAAAATCATCTTCAATGAGCTCACGTCCTGCAAGGAGGACTCCCAGCAGAGGAGTTGGATGCTCCATGAAGATGAGGACGTCATCAAGGAGTATCTCCTCGAATTAATCTCGATTTTGGTTGGTAAAATTGAGCACAGTTGGGTGAGCATGGCCCAGATTCTTAAAATAACAGAAATTAAAGCCTTTTTTTAAAAAACTAGAAAAAATAACAAAGAACTATCATTGTTCTGATCAAGGTGGCTTATGATTTTGAGACCTTAAGTTGGCAACATTGATTTATTTTTGCATTTTTTTCGAGTATTTTCAAGTTTTTATCCAGAAACTATTTTATTTTATTCAAATTCTTTGAAAAAAAAAATTATAGAAAAACCACCGAGTTGGTTGAAAATAGTTTATTTTTTAGCAGATTTTATTATATAAACAGGGCCGAATGCTTTAGTGGGTACATTTTTCAACTAGAAATATAATTATTTGTAAGATTTCGTTAAAACAAGCCAAAAATTCAACAAAATAGACTAAAAATGGTGTTATTTTGAATATTTAAGCACGTCTTTGAGATGATGACAGAAAAATAAAAAATTTCAAAAATCGTTTTTTAAACCACCTAAAAAATTAAAAAATGAAACTGAGATTGATATTTTTTTAGCTTGTTTCGCTCAACTTTTCGTATTTTGATCAGAGGCTCATTTATATAAATTAAAATTAACTGGTTTTTGGGCAAAAGACAAACATAAGTCCAGAAATTACAAAACTTGGTCGAAAATCTATGTTTTTTACAAAAAATTTAGATTTTTTGCGAGATTTCGCTAAAATAAACCAAAAAAATAACGTATCAATTCGAAAATTATATGATTTTTTAATTTTTGAGCGTTTTAGCACGTTTTTCACCCAGAAACGCACTTTTGTCGTAAAATTTTGTAAAAAACAAGCAGAAGAATCATAGAATTTGGCCGAAAATGGTGTCATTTTTGTGTTTTTCGAGTGCTTAAGCAGAATTTAAGCCTGAAAACTATGTTTTTTTGAGATTTTGCCATACCGAATCAAAAATGACTAAATTGTTATAAGAAAAAGATTATTATGTATACGTATTTTTTCCTAACTCGTATAAAACGAAAAAATTTGTTTAACAGGCTAAAAAATTACAAAATTAAACCGAAACTGATATTATTTTTTAACTTGCTTTGCTCAACTTTTTTGATATTGAGCCAAGGCTCATTTATTCTACAAAATTTTGTTTAAAGACCACCAAAAATCATTAAAATAATTAAAATTGATATTGTTTCTTTCACCCTATTTACTGGTTTTTGAGCAAAATTAAGACAAAAATAACTCGAAAAACCACAAAATTTTGTCGAAAATGCTTTTACACACATTTTTTTACCAAAATTTTAGGTTTTTCTTGAGATTTCGCTAAAACAAACCAAAAAAATTGTTGAATTAAGTAACAATTATATTATTTTTGCATTTTTTGAGCATTTTATCTCGTCTTTCTATCTCTCATCTTTTACCTAGGAACTATTTTTACAAATTATACCGTGAAATTTTGCGAGAAATTTAAATTCAGACTAAAAATGTTGTTATTTTTGTCTTTTCTTTTAAGCAGAATTTTAAGCTGGAAACTGTTTTTTTAAGATTTTGCTATACCAAATCAAAAATGACTAAATTGTTATAAGAGAAAAATTATTTATTATGTGTATGTGTTATATTGTTTCCTAACTCGTATTCTCCAAGAAAATAAAAAAAAATCGAAAAATTTTGTTTAACAGGCTGAAAAATTACGAAATTGATATTATTTTTCAGCTTGTTTTGCTCAACTTTTTGGTTTTTGAACCAAGTCCCATTCATTTTACAAAATTTTGTTTAAACACCACCAAAAATTAAAATACTTAGATATTTTATTTCTTTCACTCGATTTAACTGGTTTTTGAGCAAAATTAAAACAAAAATGAGTCGGAAATCACAAAATTTGGTCGAAAATGCTTTTAAACATATTTTTATACCAAATTTTAAGTTTTTCCGATATTTCGCTATAACAAACCAATAAAAAATGACGATTTAAGTAAAAATTATATAATTTTTGCATTTTTTGAGCGATTTATCTCATCTTTTTTTCACCTAGAAATTATTTCGTGAAATTTTGCGAGAAAATGTTGTTATTTTTGTCTTTTCCGATAGTTTAAGCAGAATTTTAGGCTGAAAACTCCTTTTTTTTGAGATTTTTCCATTTCGTGTTAAAAATCCCTAAATTGTTATAAAAAAATTATATGTCCTATTTTTCAAGATTCAAATCGTAATATGGTGAAAATAGGTGTAAATTTGACAGCTTCTTCAACTCAGATCTGGTGAATTTTGTTTTTTAGGTACACTGGGACACCGATCTGAAATTAAATTTAAAGTGTGATTTATTAAATTTTGAAACACTTGTCTCCACTTTTCTTCATATTTCTCGATTAAAGACACTCAAAAATACTAGTCAGAAAATAGGCCCGCTATGCTGACTCAACGACGCTCTTTGACCCGTCTCCGACTGAAAAATTGCCAAATTTCAGTCAAACGCCGATGCGAGCATCTCTCGACATGTGATTTCCCGAGACCAATACCACTGCATCGTGACCCTAATCCAGTTTTACCAAATGGAAATCCGCTGGTCGATCCGTCAGCTCTTGCTCCAGACATTCGGCGTTTTGTGCAGTCTGGACAAAACCGTCGTCAGCATAATGCTCAACTCGATCCTCCCAGGCGAGCTTGCCAGGTCTGGATTTTTTCTAGTGTCATTAAAAACGTATTAATTCCAATCCGAAAATAAGCATCCGTAAATTTTCTTTGGCATTTGTTGTCTACACAATAGTATATTTCCCCGAAACGGGCGTAGGCGTGCCAAAATCCCAACAATTTGACAATTATTTGTGTGTTTTTCAACGACCGCCAAGTTTTCATGTAAACAATTTCGGCCAATGCAATTGCATTCGTGATTTATTACATCAACCTGTTTTATTGTTCCATCAAAATAGATTTTATTTCAGGGATATGATGGCGAACGCGAGAAACATTCCCAAATTAAACTACTCGTCGATTCTCCTCACCATGATTTTTTCCATGGGCGAGCCCATGCCCATCACGCATCACGGTAAAAACCCCCCTCCCAACCACCACACAAATAAATCAAATTTTTAGAATTACTCGGGGCGAATTTCTTGTCATTCCTCCTCAACAACATTGAGTATCCCCCAGATACGGACATCGACGAGCAAATCCCCGATTTATTCCTCAATTGCGTCATTTCGTTCAATTTGCAGTTTGAGGATTGCGAGGAGAACCCGGTCCTCAACGCTTTAGAGGAGCGCGACGTCGCGAAAACTTTCACAGAGAAGATCCTCCTCCTCCTCAACCGGGAGCGTAAGTACCTCAAAACGCCCCGAAACGAAGTAATTGAGGTTTGTAGACGACCCGGTGCGCATTTTTGAGCACGAACCGGCCCCTCCTCACGCCCTCCTCAAGCTTTTCGTCGATTTGTTGAGTCGGAAAAGCACAGCTTCGCTCTTCTACACCAACGATATCAAAGTTTTGATCGATATTGTGGTCAGGAACGTCGCCGATTTGTCGCCAGGGGACAAGCGGAGGCAACAGTACATCGAGTTGTGCCGTTTGGTGATGAGAAACACCAACTACGAAGAGCACAGACACCGTCTCGATGACATTTTGAAGAGTTTCACGCGGATTTTCTGCGAGGAGAGCGACTTGAGCAAAAACGACCAGCAGCTAGTCCGGGAAATCTCCCACGAGTTTCCGCATTTTTTCAAATAATTTTGTGATATTTTCTGATTAAATCGATCAATGTGTTAGAGTTTTTCATTCCTTGAGAATTGTATGTGATATCCTACCTCACGTAGTGTTTTAGGGTCAACGCGCTTGTGTTACTCGTGCCAAAGAAAGCGACGAGTCAATAAATTTATTTATGAAATAAAATACAAATTGTAAATTAATTAAAATAAAATGTGTACACTTGTTGGTTTTTTTGTAAAATGCACTGAAATTCGCCGGGCTTGGGCCTGTTTACACTTCACCAGTCATCATCTCCATGAATTCTGAAAGCAAGGAAATGTGACGTCAGCAGTGCCAAAATTAGCCCTCACCATCGAAATCCACGGTTCCAGACCCGTCAGTGTCGATCTCCTCAATCATCATATCCAACTCCTTATCCGTCAATTGGTCATCCAACTCGCGCAAAATCTCCCGGAGACACGTGGTGGGAATGTACCCGTTCCCCTCCTTGTCGTAGAGTCTGAAGGCCTCCTTCAACTCCTTCTGCATGGCCTCGTCGTCCTCCTCCACGATGAACTTGGCGGCCAACGTGACAAACTCCTCGAACTCCAGGCGGCCCGACTTGTCCGCGTCCACCTCCTCGATGAGCTCCTCCAGGATCTTCTTGTCGAAGGGCTGCCCCATCAGACGCAAGATGTCCGAAACCATGTCGCACGGGATGCTCCCGGACTTCTGGTTGTCGAACGCCTCGAAGGCCTTGCGCAAAACTTGAAAAAAAGATAAAATTCATTCGTGTTATTGTTTGGGCTTTTCTTGGCGCGGAAAGTTTCCGATTTATTTAGGTTCACACAGGGTGTGGGTGCGATGGTGCACCTGTCTCGCATGCGGACCGACATTCAAGATTTAAAAATAAAAAATTAACAATCACTGATTTATTCATTTTCCCAAAAAAAAGCAATTTTTTTGTTTTTTATTGTCGTTTGCTTACTTACCGGCGATTTGTTCTGGCGGTAATTCATCCTGAAAAAGAAAAAAAGATTAGTAGAACACGAACTTGTCCACTGCACAAGTGATAGAAATGTGTGTACCATTTCGTGTGTCTGTTGCAGGAGCTTGAGAAGAACTGGATGGTTCCCGGACTGTAAACTCTGGTTATTATTTTCGAGTTATAGTGGATTTCTAGCGTTTCCCCGTCCCCCTAATTTTTCAGTCTTTTGCAGAGTGTATTTCAGCCCACACTCGACCAATCAGAGGCGTTGGGAAAACGGCAGCAAAGTAACCCATCGTGGTATTTTTAGAAACAAATGCAGCTTGAAATCGAGGGAGGGGCCCTCATTTCTCAATAATTCATCGATTTTTGTAAAATTGGGGAAAAATCTCATTTAGTGCTTGCCGGTGTTGAATTACTTGCCCGTTTTTGTACATTTAAACGGGAGCATTCGGGACATGTCCCACCCACGCCCCCGTGTCGTTCACTTTTCTATATCTGTTCGAAAATACACACATCTGGCGTGCCATATATTTCTTTGAAGTGTGTAAAACATTTTAATCTAATTGATGCTCTGACGTGGTTGTCGATCAAAACCAATTAGTCCCAATATTGGGGCAAAACAACAGCATTGCAGGTGTTTATCAAAAGTGAAAATTTGGCAAAGACCCCCAGTGCAACGAACGATTTTTGTTTTTAGAAAAACAAGCAGGTGCACGCTATATTTCACTACAACCAACAAACCGTGTTTATATTTTACAAATGGTGCAAATTTATCTAATTAAACACTCTGTTTACGCGTTGAGTAACGTTCAAGGTTTTAAATAAAAAATTAACGATTCGAATTTCGCGCTCAATTAGTAATCAGCGCACGCGCATAACCCCAATCAAATGTTAGGTTTATCAAACATTTAATTCAATTTCGACCGCAGGAATCGCCTCCCAAGCCGTGAAACCCCAAAATCGCCTTAGAATGGTCGACTGCGAGAAGGAAGAAGCTCTAAATTTGGTAAAGTTGACCTTTTTGTCGAAAGTGAGGTTATGTCGAATTTTCTTTTCAAGCAAAAGGAATTTGAATGGGTTTTGCACCAGGAAGTGCACAAGGGGCTCGAGAAAATCCACCAGATACTAGCGGTGAGTCGTTTTGTTGCTTTGGGGGTGTTTCAAGGGGGTTGTAGGAGTGTGCGGGGAGATTTCCTGTCCGGTTGTACGGTCATGACAATTCAAGTAAACAGGACAAATTCGTGCTTTCTGTGCCCTCAGATCAGGTCAAATGTGTCGTTACGTTGACTGGGGACAGTATTACGCATGCTGTAAGTGCCTCAAGTTCCGCAAAGCCCTGACCTAATTGTCTTTTTAAGGATATTAATTTTAAAGTTACTAGACAGACAAATACGACGATGGTTCGCACAACCATCCAAAATGATTGTCCTTGGAAGTTGCAACAGGTCCAGGATGCGGCCAATCATCTCCAACAGGCCATAAATCACATCGATGATGTGGGGAAAAATTACAAGTTTAAGTGAGTTACTTGTATTTGGTTTCGTGGGGGCTTAACGGGGTTGTAGATCCTCGGACGAGGTCTTACACGTCTTGGGTAACATTCTGGGGAGTTTGCAAAGGGGGCGCACTAGTCTGATTGTCCCGCGGAAGCGGGCTATGGACGACTTAATGAGGAGTTTAAATATGGTAAAAAGCCGTGGTTTTGTCGCAATTTCTGGTCATTTTACGCTTTTAGAAATCCCTAAATCCCAATTTAAGCGAAGATCTGGCCATTAGCTTCTACATACAAAGCCATAAATTAATATTTGCTATTTATCAACTGACAAATAGTCACGGGACCATGAAATATGATTCCACACATGCTGAAAGCTCGGTGCCTTGGCTCAACGAGGTACTCGTGTTTTTTACAGTCGGCTTACAGCTATGCCAGCAACTTAAAGATAAGGTTTGATTTTGATAAGATTTATGGCACCGTTTATCTCGATTTTTTCAGATCTGTGTTTTCTCCCAATATAAAGATTTTACTGTAGGCTCACGTCCAAGTAGTCCTATTCAGACATAATCTCGTGTTTTTCCTAGATAATGTTGATATTGTCAATTCCAAATTGTATATAGATAGACGTCTTTGTTGACGTAATATGAATCTTATTAACATTCTAGAGCGTTATCAAAATAAATGTATTTATTTATTATTATTTTTTTCTACCGCGTAATCGGACGAAAAATGCGTTACTCATTGGCCATAGAGCATGTCGCTTGTACATTTTTTAAATATGACTGTTTCTTTGTGTAATTTCTAGTTTTATAAGACAATAATTCAGAGTTGCACCTGTATGTTTGTAATTGTTGAAGAAGCAATAAAGTCTTGTTTCATGTTCATTTTACAGATTTTTTTATCCTAGTGTTCCTGTGTTTATTTCCTGAAATTATATTAAATTATATAAAACAGCTGCTATCAAATGCATCACTCTAATGTACTAAAAATAAATCATTAATTTTTTATTGCCATGTCTGACGTCTTACTTTTAAAACAGAATTAGAATCGAATCCACCGAATTCCACCAAACTTATACAATTTATAATTTATAGAATTTGCCAATCTAATGAGCAGTTTTTATAAGCTTTTACTTAACTTACAAAGTTGTCTGCACGAAATCTGGCGAGTCAAATTTCAGACATGTCATCCGAACAAACTGAAAATTTTAATTAATAATTTATAAAAAAAAATAACAATTGTTATAAACAATTATAAATATCTCGGTCCCTCATTGGGATATAAAGATGGAACCAACGCCATTCGATAGAGCAGGAAAAAAACTAACGGGTTGTTCGTAAATCAAAATAAAATTAAAAATCAAAAGAACCCCTAAAACAAAAATTAAAAATGGGCAAAAATCAGAAAATTTTAGACCAAAACAAAAATCAAGAAAATGAAAACTTAAATGATTTCACAAAACAATAATAAGTGAATAGCACAAAGTAAAAAAAATGTTTTTTAAATTTTTAAAGCCACTAAAAAAAATATACTTTATTCTTCGACACTGTCAAAATTTACGGTTTTTCTCCCGTGTAAGGAAGTTTTGACAACTGTTTGACATTTTTCAATACGAAACGTCAGATTACTTTTAACAGTTTTAAAGCAAGTTTAAGCCTTGTTGAGTCGAATTCGAAGAATAAAATGTTATATTTAACTATCAACTCGTTTGAGTGTAAATCGGACGCTTTATTCCACCTTGTGGATGATAAACCACTTTACACTCGTGCTAGGTGAAATAATGCGTCCGACTTACACTCAAACTCGTAGAACAAATAACAAAAAGTATTTTTTTTATTTTGTACTCAATGTTAAAGAGTGCTTTTATCAACTAATGTCAGTAGATAAAGTAGTCTTTTATCGTCTAGTGAAATAAAGTAATTTTTATCTACTGTTTATATTCAAGAAATTCTGGTAAGTGAGGACAAAATAAAACGAAATATTATACACGACGATAAAGATTGTTTAACTACTCGTGAAAAAAGTTCACTCGTGACTTCGTCACTCGTAAACCTTTTCACTCGTAGATAAACAATTTCTTTATTGTCTTATACAGGTGCGCCAGAACTCGCACCCCAGAGAAAATTGCCATATAAGGTAAGATACTAGGAACATGGAAAAAATGTTAAAAAAATTTTATTTATAAAAATTTTGAAGTTATGAGGGTTTAAAGTTTACACTTTGACCCTATTTATTTCTGTTGGAAAATTAATTTTCTAAGTTTTTTTGCTATAGGCTATTAAAAGAGGAAGCTGTATCCTAAATTGTAACTCTGTTCAATGTTATTTGTGGCTTTTATTAGCAAAATTTTTGGCCCGTTACTAAATAATTGTAAAAAAACATATACAATATCATCAGTATCATTATATAGATATAAAAAAATGTCAAATGACAAAAAATATATGTCAAAATTTTTTGACAGAATTTTGTAAACATTTTTTTCATTTTCCTGGTATCTTACCTTACTTGAAAATTTTCTCTGGGGCGCGAGTTCTGGCGCACCCTGTATAATAAATAACTATTTTCTGTCAGAGAAAAACATTTGCTTACACTTTCAGATTTTAAATTTACTAAAGCTTTGGAAAATAAGCTCTTGTGTATCCCTCTCCTCACAATCATATTAAAAAATTATATAATTTTTTATGTGGTAAACTGAAAATTCCATTTGGTTTCAATTAATTTATTCAACAAATCTCTAATTTGTTCCAATATTTCTTTAGTAGGACAAATAGTATCAAACCTTTCAAAATTTAAAATTAAATGGATCAGTAATTTAGTTTGTTACTTTTAAATTATGGTTTATTACATAATTTTGTTTATCTGTCCTGATTTTTATATTATTTTTGATAATTCCTCACTAGGTTGAAATTGCATTTCGAAATTCAAACATATTTCTTCATTATTTCAAGTGTTTTTTTTTAGTAGAGCTTTCTAATAAAAAACTACTTCGGTATAAGAATTATTCATATTTTAGTAGGAAACCAATACTCAGGAATGTTTTTAAATTACCTATGTTATTACTTACTGAGTTATTTGTATTATACTTACAACTTTAAAAAGAATTAACTACACAAAATTTAATAAGATCTATAAGATTTATTCGTTCAAATTATATAAAACAGTCGTAGTGGAAAATGCCATTTTAATATACTGTAAATTATTAAATTAGCTACATATTAATTAAGTGTAGTTAATAATTGACTCACTTTAGCAACAGAAGTTGCATCTAATCGTCCTGAAAAGTATAATATTAAAAAAAATTAAGAGGGTTTTTAACTATTTATTTAATTGAAAATCGATAACAAAACATTACTTTATGTCTGTTTGCCTAATTCATATTTAATAAACAATTATTTACGATATACGAGTAAGTACAATATTTCATGGGCCAACTAAAATTTTTCATTTTTATTCAAAATAGCTTTTTAATAACAAATACGTTATTAAAAAAATGGATTGAAGTCAAAATCTTCGGTACGTATAATTTCGTCTACTTTGATATATCATATTTTTTTATGTTTATTTCCCAAATTAATAGTAGATATATCATTTCTACGAAAAAGTTTTTTGACGCCAATCGATTCCCCGAAACATTTTACATATGTTTATGTTAAAATATTATATCATTGAGGTACAGTTTTACCGCAATTTACAAAATAAGAAAAAGTAAAAATTTGTTAACACATTCTAAATTTTATTACTCAATATCTCAAAAACTATACATCGTAGAGTATTTTAACCTGTTGCATCGTGTTCACGCGTAATTTTACGTCTATAAAATATTCCAAGTATTTTTACGATTTAAGTTAAATTGACTATTTTTACGATTTTACTACCGCTCAACTTGAAAAAGTCAAAAAATTCGTAATTTTTTAAACTTGACCGAATAACGTTTTATGCACTGTTTTGAGTCTTTAAGACTTCTACAAATGTAAAAAACGTTATATGGATCAAAGTTTTAAAACAAAAGTTTTAAAACAAATGTTTGTCGACATTTTGGTCGATTTTTGGCACCTGGAGCGGTCTATTGCCAATAACTAGGGACTTATGTTTGGTACCGTTGGAAAGAAAATTTAATTTTCCATCATACAGGCGAAGAAAGGTAATTATCCTACGTTAAATAGTTATCGAGAAAATTGCTGATAAAGTCAAAAATATCCAAAATATTAATTCAACTCTATCAAGAATTTTTTCTCGACGCGAATCGATTTCTGTGAACATCTTATGCATAAAAACATTATAACGTTTGAGGTAAGAATAAAAGAAGTAACGAAAATAATAAAATAATGGAATTCAAAATTCGAATGTTTAATTTGGTTTGACATTTTCATGTAGCCCAATTTACTCCAACAAAATTTTGCTGTACTAGTTTTTTGTGAATTCGATTGTATCTGCATATACATTTAAGTATACATATACAGGGTGTTTACAGTCTTGGAGTTGAAAATTGACCTACTAATAGACGAGTACATAAATACTGTAACCGAGAAAAAAAACTCACACAATTGTTATTATCAAGAATGTTATTTAACTCCAAAATATTGGTACACGGTTTGAGGGTCACTGAAATTATTTCCTTGTTCAGATAAAATTGTATTGTTGCAACAGATAAAAAAATCGTATCTAGGAAACCAATACTCTCCAAAGTTTCTAAATTATGTCATTATTTATTGAATTACTGGTTTTGTACTACTATTGTACTAACAACTTTTAAAAAAATCAATGGCACAAGACTTCATGGGTGCTTTAATTATACAGATTTCGGTGATTTTTTTATTCTTTTAAACCATACAAAACAGTCGCTGTGGAATACATAATTTTAATGTACTGCAAATTATTAAATTGCTTCCATTTTTATTTTGTAGTAAATAGTAGACTCACTTTAGCAACGGAACTTGCATCTAATCGTCCTGTAGTTAACAAATTTATATAAATCGGATTTACTGAATTTTCCAACAAAATAAGTAACGTTGTGCAATTTTTACGATTATACGAATACCAGGGCAGTTCTAGTAACTCATCAAAAATTTTTCCAGTCTAGAATTACCATTAAATGAAATTAAATTTTTTTCTGATTTTTACCATATCTGGGACTTGTATGAATAGTGCTGTGAAATGAATTGTTAATAAGACACTTGTTGTAGAAAAAGAAATCGATCGGAGATTAGCTTTCCAATCGTCACTGAGCGAGAAAGACTGAAATTTGATTAATTAAGTTTATTGTTTTAATTTTTATTCCTACATTGATGAAGAAAAAAATCATTGAAGTGTCAACGATAAGCAGCATATAAACCTCAACTTGGAGAAGCCCCCAAAACATCTTGATCACTTTTTTAATAAATCTAGAATTTTACTAAAATTACTCAATTGAGAAAACTGTTTCTACTTACGTAGTTATGGACACGTGTCGTATGACTATAATTCGCAATTTTTCTGCAACAAACTCTTGATTCGTTTCTAGATTTTTCATTTTGCTAATGTAAAGACCTAAGAGCGATAACTGGAATTTAACACTACAAATGGCATAAAATAGACAACAGGCGATCGAAAACGCCATACAAGCCAAAAGGAGAAAATTAGTCAAGAAAAAAAAATCCACAATTTTTCCATATTTAGTAGGGAACATTTCCTTAATTAAGAAAATGTCTCTGTCATCACTAAACAACGGCGAAATAAACACAACTAAACTTGTCAGCGAAAAGCCTACGACAAATAGCGTCATTCTCAAAAAATTAAACTCTTTTAAAAATCTGTCGCGACTGGAGGCATCACAGATGTCCAAAGGCCAAATTAGCGAATACAATTCATTGAAAATATTTCCAATCGTTTTTTCTAAAGCTATGAAAACAAATATTTGGAATGTCATCTAAAAATTGATGATATATTTTTAATTAATGCGAATTACCTACAACTTACAAAAAAATTGACTCCCATTGTGGGGAAATAAGTTAACAAAAGTTGCTTCTTTTCCGTGCTCCGTAGGATGTAAACACATTGCAAAAATATAAAAGAAATATTGAAAATGAATATCAAACGGCTGAATTTTTTCACTCGAGGATTGTGGAGCATAGTATCAACAGTTAGCTTCTTAAAAAGCCAAAATGGATCATCTGCAATTATTTTCGTAATTGGCGTTAATCTGTTTTAACTAAGTAGTTATACTCTTTTCAATGTAAGACATGTTTCTATATCACAATTGTAGGCAAAAGTATAATATTAAAAAAATTAAGAAGGGTTTTAACTATTTATTTAATTGAAAATCGATAACAAAACATTACTTTATGTCTATTTGCCCAATTCATATTTAATAACCAATTATTTACTTATCGAGCGATAAAGATAATTTGTAATCGAGTCATCTTTGGATCGGAAAACGTATGTTTTACGTCGGCGACTAATTCCAGCCCATTTTACCGTTTTACCTTACGACTTGTCATTTTATTTGACGTTTCCCATGAAGTTAGTTCAAAAACAGACATACGTTCTCAGATGCAGCGATGACTCGATTACAAATTGTCTTGATCGCTCGATACAATATTTCATGGGCCAACTGAAAATTTTCATTTTTATCCAAGATAGCTTTTTAATAAGAAATACGTTATTTAAAAAAGTTGATTGAAGTCAAAATCATATTAATCATGTGCCACAAACTATTTTTTTATATTAATTACAGATTTTCGTTAAAAGAAAAGAAAATACAACGAAAAAAAAACAACAGAAAAATGGCGCTAATTTATTATAATGTGGGCGGTCATGTTGACGGGTTAAATAGTTATCCAGAAATTGCTGATAAAATAAAAAATATCAAAATGTTAATTCATCTTTATTAAGAATTTTGCAATTGTCTCGACACCAATCGATTTCTATGAACATCTTACATACTAGGTGAATAAAAATTATGGAACCAAACGTTTTTTGCTTAAACTATTTATTTTTTGAAAAAACTAATTGATGAGTGATAAAGTACTATAAAAATGTGAAGATTTAATAAGAATAAATTTTTTCGAAATTTCTTTTTGTTTTTGAGTTCTACAAAAAAAAAAAAAATTTAATGGCAACCCACTATAAAATCATTTTTCTCATAAAAGCTATACTCTAAGGATTCCAACTATCTGCTTTATATTTAATTTTTTCAAAATAATTTTTTCACATAAATTGCAATTTTGACAAAAAAAAATCGCAAAAACTCAAAAACAAAACAAAATTTTGCTCTGAAAATACGATCACATTTTTTATATTACTCTAATTTATATTAATTGTTATTTTCTGGAGGCAAATGATTAAAAATAAAACCGCTTGGTTTTATAGTTTATATTCACCCTGTATATGTAGGTATGCATAAAAACATTATAACGTTTGAGGCAATAAAAAAAGTAATGAAATGAAGTAATAAAAACAATAGAATACAAAATTTGAATGTTTAATTTTGTTGTTTCTAAAATATAATTTTAGTTTTATTACCACTACAAAATATTTTTGCCAGGTAATTAAGGCGAAATCAGTTTTTTCACTATTTTATACAGAAAAAACATCGTGAAAAGTGACAAGTGGCGATAGCTATGCCACGGGATGTACTTTAGAAATTCAACTTGTCACAATGACAGACGTTAATATTTGACATTTTTGTGTAGCCCAATTTACTCAAACAAAATTTTGCTGTACTAGTTTTTTGTGAATTCGATTGTATCTGCATACATACATATAAAAATTACTTCTTTATTTCAGAATTATTTATATTTTAATAGGAAACCAATACTCATCAAAGTTTATGAATTGTCATTATTTATTGAGTTACTTGTTTTGTACTATTGTACTAACAACTTTTGAAAAAATCAATTGTACAAGACTTGATGGGTGCTTTAATTATACAGATTTCGGTGATTTTTTTACTCTTTCAAACTATGCAAAACAGTCGTTGTGGAATATATCATTTTAATGTACTGCAAATTAGGAAATTGCCTACATTTTTATTTAGGTGTAATAAATAATTGACTCACTTTACCAACAGAAGCTGCATCCAACCGTCCTGTCCCTAACAAATTAATATAAATTGGATTTACTGAATTTTCCAACAAAATAAGTAACGTTGTGCAATTTTTACGATTATACAAATACCAGGGCAGTCCTAGTAACTCATCGAAAATTTTTCCAGTCTAGAATTACAGTTAAATAAAATTATACTTTTTTCTGATTTTTACCATATCTGGGATTTGTAAAAATAGTGCTGTGAGATGTATTGTTAACAAAACACTTGTTGTAGAGAAACAAATCGATCGGAGATTAGCTTTCCAATCATCACTGAGCGAGAAAGACTGAAATTTGATTAATTAAGTTTATTGTTTTAATTTTTATTCTTACATTGATGAAGAAAAAAATCGTTGAAGTGTTAACGATGATCAACATGTAAACCTCAGCTTGGAGAAGCCCCCAAAACGTCTTGATTACTTTTGTAATAAATCTAGAATTTTACTAAAATTACTCAATTGAGAAAACTGTTTCTACTTACGTAGTTAGGGACACGTGTCGTTTGACTATAATTCGCAATTTTTGTGCAACAAACTCTTGATTCGTTTCTAGACTTTTCATTTCGCTAATGCAGTGACCTAAGAGCGACAACTGAAATTTTAGACTACAAATGGCGTAAAATAGACAACAGGCGATCGAAAACGCCATCCAAACCAGAAGGGGCAAATTAATCAAGAAAAAAAATTCCACGATTTTTCCAAATTTACTAGGGAACATTTCTTTGATTAAGAAAATGTCTCTTTTATTACTAAACAACGGCGACATGAACACAACTAAACTTGCCAGCGAGAGGCCTGCGACAAATACCGTCATTTTCAAAAAATTAAACTCTTTTAAAAATCTGTGGCGACTGGAGGCATCACAGATGTCCAAAGGCCAAATTAGCGAATACAATTCATTGTAAATATTTTCAATCGTTTTTTCTAAAGCTATGAAAACAAATATTTGGAAAGTCATCTAAAAATTGATGATATATTTTTAATTAATGGGAATTTGAACAACTTACAAAAAAGGTGAACCCCATTGTAGGGACGTAAGTTATAATAAGTTGCTTCTTATCGGAACTCCGTAGAATGTAAACGCATTGCAAAAATAGAAGAGAAATGTTGAAAATGAAGATATAACGGCTGAATTTCTTCACTCGAGGGTTGTGAAGCATGATGTCAATAGTCAGTTTTTTAAGAAGCCAAAATGGGTCATCTGCAATAATTTTCTTAATTGGCGTTAATCAGTTTAAATTAATTACTTTTTTGAATGTAAGTCATCTTTCTATGTCACTATTGAATACAAAAGTAGGTAATAGGTATTAAAAGAAAATTTAGAAGGTGATTAATTATTTATATTTCAAGTGAATATCGATAACAGTAAATTATGTTTATTTCCTTTCCCTTCATCATTTAAATAATAATATCCTTCATTCGTCTTCTTTAGTATTGTCGTCAGCAATACCTATTTTTGATTCGATGGTGAATAAGGTATGTCAGGTTAGACATGCAACTAACAATCCGAATCCGTACTATTGGTTGCATAACCAGCTTAATTTTATTCATTACAATTTTAAAAATAATTAGTCTTCAAATATTCAACACAAGCATTTTGCTCATAACACAGAAAGAGATTGATAAGAAATATATATTTTTTGTTGATGTTCATAGTAATCATTGTAGTGACATAACCCCATTTAACCTTAAAAGTGATCAAAAATGTCGTCAAATTCTTACGAAGATTGGATTTCGATCTACAATAACAACATTAAGACAACATGGGAGGCAGAAAGGTTAGAACTTCGCAAAATTTCCATGATTTATTGTGCCTTTCAAACGGAATTAAACAGTGAGTTTTTTTTAACCCAATTTGTTTATTTTCTTCAATTTCTTCCCAATTCCAGAACTTAAAACTAGCATAAGTGATGAAATATTGGCTGTTAAGTCAGAACTGCGTAAAAGAGACTCCTTCCTTAAGCGTAAAACCTTCAAAGGACTGTAAGTGTAACCACCTGAAAGCCATTTTTTGCTAAACTTCTTATTCTAGGGCACAATCGGAACAATTCACTGAATTAATCCAGTTGGGCAAAGGTAAATTAACACACTCTAATGTTACACAATGTCTCACAAGCGCCCAATTTTCAGAAAACCAAACCCCTACCTCGCCCCTGAAACAGCTCGATTTCAACGACGCCAAAACCGGAGACTTTCTCCCCAAATCTCCTATTTTAAGCACTAAATGCTCGCCAACCTCTCCGTTTATTTTCCCCCAAGTCCCCGAAACGCCCAAATGTGACGACTCAAACATTTTGGAGTGTTCAATAATCGAGAACACGCCCGTTGTCAAACCCAAGAAGCGGACAAAACCGTCGTTTATGACGCAAAAAAGACAAAAATTGAAAAATAAGACTAAGCAAGAGACGACTCTCACACAGATGTTTTTGCAGCCAAGGAAGGAAAAGTATGAAAATTGAAAAAAAAAAACGAATTTGATTGTTTTTATTTAGGGAGATTGATTCGAATATGCCGTCAATGACCCTCAACGAGATGATTAATTTGATTAATGACAGTAGCGGGAGTGAGACTGAGGCCGAGCTTGAGCCATTGGAGGTGACCACTGAGCCGAAGAAAAGCCCAATTAGGTATTTTTGTTTTGTTTCATTTTGAGTTTGTTATGTATTGAGGTTTGTAGAGAGTCCCCAGAAGTCGCCTTCGAGGAAGTGGTGAGGGGCAAAGCGCGTAAAAAGCTGAAAGGGTGGTCGTGCCACGAGTGTAGGGATTACTACGAGGTGCTCAATTTGCCCCCCGATGAGTTGGAAAAGCGGAAAAATGAGTGTTCGAGACACAGACGTAAGTTTCAAAGGAATGAAACGTATGAGGGGTTTTGGGATTTGACGTTTGGGCCCACTCCCAAGACCCAAAATTCGCAATCGATGGTTTTCAATAAGAAATAAAATTTATTAAACATTATATTATACTATTACAAATTTCCTCGCTTCGCTTGTTCTATTTCAATCGCCTCGAACAAAGCCTTGAAATTCCCGGCCCCAAATCCCTGAAATTTTTCACACTCAAAATTAGAAAAAACTACGGGAGACTACTCACATTGTGGTTCCTTCTTTGGATCACTTCCAAGAAGAGCGTCGGTCGGTCTTGCATATTCTTGGTGAAGATCTGCAACAAATACCCTTGGTCGTCGTAGTCGATCAAAATCTTCAGTTTTTGCAAAATGTTCAAGTCTTCGGCGATCTTCACTTTGCTGTGCTTCAGCTTGTCGCGAAGAATGTCGTAGTAGCTGTCCGGGACTTGGAGGAACTCGACCCCTCGCCCCATCAGATTTTGCACCGAGGTGATGATGTCTTGGGTGTTGAGCGCGATGTGCTGCACCCCGGCGCCCCCATAGTACTCCACGTACTCCTCGATTTGGCTCTTCTTCTTGCCAGGAGCGGGCTCGTTGATGGGCAGTTTGACGTTCTCCTCCCAGTTGCTCATCACAATGGACCGTAACGCCGAATATTCGGTGTGGACTTGCTTGTCGTCGACGGACCAAAACCGGTGGAATTGCAGGACCGTCTCGTACCATTTCGCGATGGACTCCATCTCACCATCGGGCTGATTGCCCACGATGTGGTCAATGAAGTCCAATTTACCAGCGGGCCTGAAATTTTCAATTGACAGTAGTAGAAAAAATTATTATAAAAGTCGTGCTCACAAGTTTTTTGCCAACTTGTCCTCCTGGCACATGATGTAGCCGGGCAAAAAGGGGCCCCGGTAGAGACTGCGGTCGATGAAAGTGTGCGTCGTGTCCCCGTACTAAAATGTATTTTACACTTTTTTGCAAAAAAAACACAGGGTTTACCGTTTGAATTTTGGCGAAACGAACAATCCCGTGGAAATCGCTCTCCTCCCAAATATCTTTCAGTATTTTGGCACCTTTTTGTTTGGCTCTCTGAAAAAAAAATCTGTTATTTTTCCATCCTTGTTTGTTTAATGGAATTTGCTAAGTCTATCCTTGTCTCACCGTAACGATTCCTTCCAAATCTTCCACAGCCATCGCGATGTCCTTCACGCCGTCCCCGTGTTTGACTAAATGGGGGCCCACCTCGTGATCCCCCGGTTCGTAAGGGGACATGAAGACGAAAATGACCTTAAAGCAGTTTTCGGTATTTCGCTTGAAAAAATTTGGACTTACTTTGTTCTGGCGGACGACGTGGGCGGCATATTTGCGACTTCCACTCTCCAGGCCTTTGTAAGCCAAAGGCTCGAAGCCCAATCTTGTGATGTAGTAACTGGCGGCTTGTTTGGCATTTCCGACGTAAAATGTTAAATGGTCGAAACATAAAAATTTGCCATTGGTTGGCTAAAAAAATCGTTGTGAAATGCGAAACAAATTTTTGGGCTTACCTTAGGGCCTTTGTCTGTGTATGAAGTCTAGAGGATTGTTTCAGTTAATTTGGGTTCAGAGGTGGCCAAATACTTACCATTTTCACTCACTGAAACTTGACTGAAATATGCTGAATAAGAGGCGATTTTGTCTTTTATAAGTTCGCACAAACAACGTTGTTTATCTGATTTTATAATTAATTTGGAGAAATGCAAATCATATGTAAAAGCAAGGAGATCAGGATTTGATACACTCGTGTAGCTGTGGAGCAAATTTGTGTAATAAAAGTCGCCCAATGGTTATTTTGCCCAAAATTAAATTTCTCCGCCTAACAGTACAATTTTTGGAAAAAAAAATTACGAAAAAATGATTCGTCATGGTCAAACTTGAACGATAAAAGCCTAACAGTCGTGTAATATTTCCCCGTGACTTGCATTTTATCATAATAAATTATTGACTTGAAAATTATTTAAATTTCGAAAAAACAAGATATCTCTAAGAGGTGGTGTGTCACCAATAGAGTGTGAGCCTTCCAGCGATTTATTCCTGTTTATCAAGAACAGCATTAATTATTTATCAATTTTTTACCGCATTTACGGCTTTTATCACAGTCTGTGTTTTCATTTTTCAAACTTGAGGAGCGTCGAAATTGAGAGCTCATCACAAGCGCTGCAAATATTTAGTTTCCATTAACTTTTTTCCATATTCGATGCGAATTTTAAACAGACTTAAATGCGGTGATAAATGGGAAATTATGCAGTAATTTCAGGTACAGAAACATTAATTAAAATGTGTGTCTGACACGAAATTTGATTAAAGCACTAATTACTGGCACATGTTTCAAATAAAATTGAATCAGTAAAAATGTCTGATTGTGAGTTGGAAATGTAATAATAGTAAACTGAAATCCTAATGAAATTCTTGTATATATTATTGTTAATTTTAGGCAAGTGTCACTTTTTATTTTGCAAATTTTTAAACAAATAATTTTTTGTGTTTACATCATAATTTCTACGTTTTTAACGAAAAGCGAACATTCATTTTACTTTGTCGACAAGAATTTTTAATAAATAGATATTTAAACAATATAACTGAAACATTAATTAATAAAAAATAAAATAACTGAAGTGAAAACTGCAAAAATGGAAAAGTTAACTGCAAATAAATAAGTTTTCACTCTTCTAACTTTGTAAATTTGCAATAAATTATTGAAATTTTGAAGTAAAAATCCTCGTTTGCATAATCACTAATCTTTTTTTAGCTACCTGAAAAGCTGAAAACAGTGAAGATTTTTTTTTGTTTTACTAAAAATCCTCTTTTTCAAGAGAAAGAAAGACACTGCCAGTTTATTTATTTATGTCATAGAATTTTTAATTAATTTTATTACGTTTATAGTATTCGCATTTCTACGTTATCTCTACCTACTTGGTTCTCGAGATAAGCGACTCCAGCAATAATTCTTATTTATTTTAGCTGATAAAAAAAATAAAAATAAATTAGGGAGAAAATGAATAATCAAAAAAAGATAAAAGCAATTCAATATTTGATGAAAAAACACAAACATCTGAAATTTTTGCGTTTAATTTTAATTTGAAAGCGTAATTTTAGTTTTAACCACAGTTTTGACTATTTTATTTGATACGCTGATTACGAATATGCCCAATTTTTGCAATTACTACAAAATTTTGCCGTAGTAATTGACATTTGAATAAAAATAATTTTTTTATTTTTTTTTAATTTTAACTACGTTTTTTGCAAAAAATTATTAACGTTTCGACAAAAACGCAGCATCATTCGTCATAGTCCACGTTCGGTTTTCTATAACAGGACGAATTCCCGGAGTTGATTAGAACTCTATTTTATACAGGAAACTAAATTAAAAACAACCGGATTTCATCCGGAAACTACCCAAAATCGACGAAAAATTATTCAATGACTCCAAAACTATTCGTTATTCAACATTTTAACTTGCCTTTTTGTATAATAATAATAATAATATTTTTTTTTTGAAACGATCCAAAATCGGCGAAAAATTAATCAATAACCCAAAAACTATTTGTAATTCAACATTTTATCTTGCTTTTTTCTGATTTTCACATAATTTTATAAAAATAATAATAATAAAAATTCTAAAAAAAAATCGCTTAGAAACACACAATTAACGAAAAAATATTCAATGACTTCAAAACTATTCGTCATTTAACATTTTAACTTGCCTTTTTGTGATTTTTCACATAATTTTATAATAAAAATTCTAAAAAAAAAAATTCGCTTAGAAAYGACCCAAAATCGGCGAAAAATTAAGCAATAACCCAAAAACTATATATTTGTAATTCAACATTTTRACTTGCTTTTTTGTGATTTTCACATACTTTTATAAAAATAATAATAATATATTTTCTAAAACAAAAAATCGTTTAGAAACTACCCAAAATTAACGAAAAAATATTCAATGACTCCAAAACTATTCGTCATTCATCATTTTAACTTGCCTTTTTGTGATTTTCACATAATTTTATAATAATAATAATAATGATAATAATAACAAAAAATCTAAAAAAATCGCTTAGAAACGACCCAAAATCGGCGAAAAATTAATCAATAACCCAAAAACTATTTGTAATTCAACATTTTAACTTGCTTTTTTGTGATTTTCCCATAATTTTATAAAAATAATAATAATAAAAATTCTCAAAAAAATTCGCTTAGAAACACACAATTAACGAAAAAATATTCAATGACTTCAAAACTA